GAGACAGAATGCGTCTCCTTCCTGAGCGGTATGACGGCTGCGTGGTCCCATGGTGTTTATACTTGCGTACTATTGTTTGTACAGATGAACGTGGAACCTTCAGGCATTTGGAAATTGCTCCCAAGGATGAACCAGACTTGTGGAGGTCTACAACTTTTTTTCTGAGGTCTTGGCTGATGTCTTTTGATTTTCCCATGATGTCAAGCAAAGAGGCACTGAGTTTGAAGGTAGGCCTTGAAATACATCCACAGGTACACCTCCAATTGACTAAAGATATGTAAATTAGCCTATCAGAAGCTTCTAAAGCCATGACATCATTTTCTGGATTTTTCCAAGCTGTTTAACGGCCCAGTCAACTTAGTGTATGTAAACTTCTGACCCACTAGAATTGTGATACAATGAATTATAAGTGAAATAATCTGTCTGTAAACAATTGTTGGAAATATTACTTGTCATGCACCGACTTGCCAAAACTATAGTTTGTTAACAAGAAATTTGTGGAGTAGTTGAAAAACGAGTTTTAATGACTCCAACCTAAGTGTATGTAAACTTCCGACTTCAACTGTATGTTATATCCTTGTATTGCTATATCATCAAAGGAATTATCTAAGTGAGTCGCAGAAATGGCTAATATATTAATATTATCTGATGTTAGCAAGTTAGCGATTTCATGAACCTTATTTCTAAGGCTACATATATTAATATGGACTATTTTCAGCCCTTTCCTGGGTAGCTTATCAGAGATAGACATATGGAAAAGAGCAAACAAAGCAAGCGAAAAATATATACATTCAGCAATCCATTAATCAGTTGGTGTGTGTAAGTGTGTGTGTGTGTACTGCGGGGTTAAAGCTACGAACCCATAGGCTTGGCTCTCTCATCCCTTCCAGGCTTTTGGGAGGGAGGGTGGACAATGAACCTGTCATAGCAGATGTAAGCAATGTCCCCACATGCTCTGGCAGCTTTCATGGCTGTGATAAGTTCTTTCCTCTTCTGGCGCACAGCTTCAGGATAGTCCTCGTTGAGGAAGATGTACATTCCTCTCAAGTTCTTGGCTCTTTCCAGAACAGCTACCTTGTCCTTGAACCTCAGGAACTTGACCACTATCGGCCTGGGCCCATCACCTGGGCCGGTGATGGATTCTCCAGTCCTGTGGGTGCGCTCCACCTCAATCTTCCTGTGGTCCATCTTCAGTTTCTCCAAGATTATTTCCCTCACTTTGTCCTCAGACTCCGTCCAGGTCTCATGTGGAGATTCTGCAATTCCGTCTACAACAATGTTGTTCTGCCTTGATTGTCCCTCGAGATAATTTGATTTCTCCATCATTGTTATCATGGATTCACATACAGAACTGATGTCCTCTCTCAATGACTTACAGATTGCTGTCATCTTGCCGTTCTCCTGTTTAAACTCATCGAGCTGACCCTGGGAGAACTGCAAACTGTTTTTCAGGTCCTGGACCCTTCTGGTCAGGTCGTCCATTCTTTTCTTTGTTGACTCCACCACTTTTTGTTCATTTAAAATATATTTCAGCTGTGATAGAGAGATACCACTGTCCTCAATGGTACTCCCGCCGGCTTTGGTCTTTGTCATGGTAGCAACGTAGGTTACTGTTACTCCGCGCAGTTCCAGACAGGGCAGGTCGCAGGAAAAATGTATGAAGGCACTGTTCAAAGGCATCTATATCTTTGCAAGATATTTGCCATGCGGCATGTTGGGCTACTCCTCATATGTTTATGAGGTTTTACCGACTGGATGTCACTGCACCTTCGTTGGCGCATACTGTCCTCAGTGTCGGAGCCTCTGAGGGGTGATACTGTTTGGACTGCCCTTGCTTCTGAGAGCATGACTGCGATATGGGAGTTGGTCACATCCCATTGTGAGACATCGAAACAAGTATTTGAAAGAGAACTCAAGGTTACTTTCATAACCCCAGTTCTCTGATACTATGAATGAGATGTCTCACTGCATTTTCCTGCTTGCCGAGCACCAGGAAGAGAGACATGCTTTGGATTGACCAGAGGGCAGGACAGATGTTGTGCGATTGGTCCTTCCTCTAGTAATCTGCCTTCCAGCAAATCCCATTGTGAGAAATCTCACTCATATTATCAGAGAAACAGGGTTACGAAAGTAACCTTGAATTGTTTAGCTTACAGTGTTTATTTGTGTAAATTATCAATTATATATTTTTTCTGTATATTCTGTTTATCGTCTGTCTGTATATTCTGTTTATTGTGGCAGCACCATTTCACAGAGTCAAATTCCTGTACTTGCAAACAAAGGTGATTCTGATAGGTCCTCCAAATCACTCTCATCAGGAGCTCTGACCTGATGTGCCATGCAGGTTAAAATTGTCATAGTTCAATGAATTGTCATAGTTCAGGGGAAAATTGAATATTATTATATTTTATGAACAGCAATACAAATAATGAACAGCAATATCATAAACTCTCTGCAGGTAAGTTGTCATTAATGTTAGTATAATGAAACAGATGCAAGTAGGCCCCCTAGTGGCCACTTTACTAATCACATTATTTATCATGGTAGAATGTGCATTGATTTGAAACTGGTTTGGTGAGGGATCACTCTTGTAAGTTCAGCCTGTACTGCAAACCTTAAGAAATGTCTGTCTTTACGGTCATGACGTGTTGGGGTTTTTCCAGCAGCCTTTCAGTCTCCCTGTCAATCTCTGTTTGACCCTGCTGTAGCTAAGCTACCCCCAAGAGCCACAGCTGTTGTTCTGCCAGGGGAGCTCGTGAAGGATTCTCTCAGACTGACCCCTCCCCCAGGAAGATTTACGTCACCTTCTAACCCCCCACCTGCTCCTCACTCACCCCTCACCCAACCCACACATGCCAGTTAGTTTCTCTACTTGTTCAGGCTTTTCCATTTCCTTAGAAAGCCGCCTACAGAGTTGTAGGCGGCTTTCTATCTATTCCTCTCCTCCCCTCTGCTTGTTAGAGATGACAGAAATAGCAGGATAGTTGACTCACAACAGCAAACTTTTCAGAGTACGGATGTTGTCAACACACGTGTTCCTGGAAAAAGAGCAGTGTTTCACTGGGTAGGGGGGGGGATTTACTGATGGTTTAAGCAGGTTATACCTTCACATAAAACATTATCAATATATATATTTTTTTATATTATTCAACATTGGGTTATCTTCACAAATTCCATGTGATCAGATGATTTCTACAGTCAATGAGTCTTACACAAAATTAGTGTCTTTTGCATCCCTTTGATATTTTAAGAACAAATTGTGAACAAATATAGAATTTTAAAAGCCTGTTATATTAAATGAAGTGCCCTTTAATTTAGACCACATGGAGAATTCAATAAATCCGATTTATAATATGAATAAAGACTTGCTAAAACAAAGTGCTAAAGTTCTAAACTATTCAGAACTATTCCTTTTTAAATATTGAACATTTAATAGTCATTTCACAGTGTAAAACCAGGTGAGCTGGTACTACTCTTTTTGGACATTTTCTGGTGTTTTGTGGTGGAAAACTGAGCGGGTCGAGCATAAAACGTCAGCCCTGTTACCCATAGATAGATAGGCTACAAATGTTCAAACCATTTCTAAAATGTTCAAGCTTGCATTCAATTGCCCCCTCCCTGTTGCACACAACATGCTTCCATTCCCCGTCACAAAGGGATTTGTGACAGGATTTTTTACTTTTACTAAAAAAATTGGTGGAACAGCAGCACTCCTTACAGCAGGAGTGAAATTAAGGCACAAAGCAAGCGATAGTAGTACGAAAGTAAACATCTCTATTCATATGCACACTCTTTTTGAAGATGAGAGAACTGCCACAGAGGTTTCAATTTTTGAGAGAGTGTGCAATTGGCATGCTGACTGCAGGAATGTCCACCAGAGCTGTTGCCAGAGAATTGAATGTTAATTTCTCTACCATAAGCCGCCTCCAACATTGTTTTAGAGAATTTGGCAGTACGTCCAACCAGCCTCACAACTACAGACCATGTGTCAGACCCAGCTTCCTCACCTGCGGGATTGTCTGGAAGGGGCGGGGGGGGGGGGGTGAATATGTCTGTAATAAAGCCCTTTTGTGAAGAAAAAAAACTAATTCTGATTGGCTGAGCCTGGCTCCCCAGTGGGTGGGCCTTGCTCCCCAGTGGGTATGTCTATGCCCTCCCAGGCCCACCCATGGCTGTGCCCCTGCACAGTCATGTGAAATCCATAGATTAGGGCGTAATTTATTTATTTCAATTGACTGATTTCCATATGTAAACCGTAACTCAGTAAAATCGTTGAAATTGTTACATGTTGCATTTATGTTTTTGTTCAGTATACAAACATGTATTTACTTTAAAAAACAAACAGCTGTTTGCTTCATAAATGCATATGTATTAAGTGCTTCAACACTTTCACAAACCTCACATTCACATTTTGTCCATACAGCAGCTGCACCTAACCTATTTGTTTAGAGAATGCCAAGAACCATTCAGGTGATTATTACAGTATAATAGGTACAGCGCTGGTTTGTCTGGTGTATCAAGAGTTGGTCTCTCTCTCTGACATTGTGAGGGGTTTAGGGACTAATGTGTGTTTGTGTGCACGTCCTGCTCTGTCTAGCTAGCTTAGTGTGTGTGTTAGGCCTCTCCTCGGCCCACCAAAGCTGTATTTTCAGGGTGACTGTTGTTAACATCACAGTAGAGTTCAGTCCTTCTGGTGCTCTTGTCTTTCTACATTTACATTTACATTTTAGTCATTTAGCAGACGCTCTTATCCAGAGCGACTTACAGTTAGTGAATACATATTATTTTTTTATACTGGCCCCCCGTGGGAATCGAACCCACAACCCTGGCGTTGCAAACACCATGCTCTATCAACTGAGCTACATCCCTGCCGGCCATTCCCTCCCCTACCCTGGACGACGCTGGGCCAATTGTGCGCCGCCCATGAGTCTCCCGGTCGCGGCCGGCGGCGACAGAGCCTGGATAGAGTACAGGTAACAACACCCCAGGATATACATACATATACCATCCATGAGAACACAGATATCTGTTCTACTCCCAGGCTTGGCGTCAGGCCTGGTAGACGGGGACCACCCTCTTGATGGCCTGCCGGCATATGGGGCAGGTGGGCTGCGGCAAGGCCTGGTAGCAGCTGTAGCAGCAGCACACGTGCCCACAGTCCAGCAGCACACAGCTACGCGGCTGGGTCAGGCAGATCACACAGGCGTTCTCCAGGGGTGTCACCTGCTCCCCAGCCCCCTCTTGTGTAGCCCCAGACGTAGACCCTGCCCCAATCCCCCCAGCACCCAACCTCTCAAACTCCCTCCTCAGCCGTTCCTGGTCCCAGCGGACTCTCAGGCTGCGGTAGTAGCGGCGGCCCACCCAGAAGAGGACGGCGGCCCCTGCCAGGGCGAACACAGAGGCCAGGACCTGCCAGACCACCGCCTGGCCCTCCTGCTCCAGCCGCAGGGACTCAAAGTCTGCCGAGCTGAGGAAGTACTCTGAGCCGTCAGTGGGCGGGCGGAGCTTCAGCACCCGGTCCGTGTCCAAGATGAGCTCGCCTACACCAGTCAGAGTTGCGCCAACCTAGAAATACAGACAGACACAAAATGGTCAGGATTATGGAGCAACACACTATCACTATTTAGGGGCAATAATCACCTCCCCTCATCCTAAACACAATGGAACGTTTTTGCATCTTATTGTGGAATTTCTGGAATGAAGATACTGTTTTTATCATAAGTAAGAGGTAATCTATCAGTGATATGGCTACATAAAAAATTAATAACCTCAAACCAAACCAAATCTCACCTTGAGCATCTCCTCAGTCTCCAGCTGGCCTTTGGGCTTCTCTCCACTGAGGTACTGTCCGATGATGTCAGTAAAACCGTAGCTGGCCTGGTGGAACTTCTCATGGATGATCTCCATCTCCAGCCCCGAGGCCTCCAGGGGACACAGCACCCTCACGTTGGCCTGGTCTGACCCCACCAGGCTGAAGGGCACCGCGTTCACCCTCTGGTGCAGCACACGCTCACTGTCCGTCCTACACAGGAAAGGGGGGGTGAGAAAGTTAGGAGGGGGGTTCCTCTAACTTGCTCACTCATCATTATTCACAATTTATTCATGATTATCCATTATCATGGTAGCATCCACATTCATGTTGAAGTGTTCAGAAACATGTTATATTCTATTTACAATAAAAGTGACTCCAAAATGACAAAATACATTATTCACCATTTAGTTCCTATTGGGCAAAACATAATCTGAAACACAACCAAAACAAACTGCAAATGAATCCAACAAGTTTGTTGAGTCACAAGCTTGATGTAGTCATTGCGTGCTAGGAATACGGTACCAAATACTAACCTTTTGACTACTTTAATACACTATAAGTGAATTTGTCCAAATACTTATGGAACAAAAACGTATTCAAATGGGGGGACATAAAGTGGTTTCATTTCTAAACGGTAAAACAGATATGAATGAAAATACCTTCAAATACCGTCGCATCATGTGAAACATTTCAATTCAAATCCAAAATACTGGAGTATAGAGCCAAACTTACAAATGTTAGCTTCACTGGGGGGTGTATATCTGTGTATCAGATGTCAGACGGTCCTAGTCATATTCAAGTTTTATAATTCAAAGTGGTAATACAGATGATACTAGTCATTCACATTACATTTGGAGTGTCAATCAGGAGTGTTTCTACCAGGTGTTAGACAGGCTGTTCCACACCAGCTTGTGTTCCCTCAGCATGAGTTTCTGCACCACCCCCACACTGCCCCCCTGGAACAGACTCCTCAGAGGCTCCCCCAGAGGCTGCACTGCCCCTACACACACGCACCATGGATAGAGACATTCATTAGACTAAGAACTGCCCCATCACACCAATAAGTGAGAGAGAACAGGGTCTACTCAATATCATAATAATATGACCATAGCGATACAATCAGAAATGTTTCCCATTCACACAGATAACTATATGCCTACCTTCAATGACAACATACTGCAGACACTTTCCCGGCGTCGCATTCAAAAGGTCTGCCAGTTTCCGATCCAAAGTCAACTGTGGTGCATCCTGAAACAACAAGCAAATAGAAAAGTCAGTAATTTCTATAAAAATCTCTGTCTCAAAAATGCGTGGTTTGTACTTTGTTTACAACGTGTAAAGACTACGGGCTAGATTAAATTCATATCGCAGAAAATCCGCGTTACAGTGCAATTTAAATGTAAAGGTCATTTCTGTTTGAGACGACATATACAGCATGTAGGCTACCGTAAATGTAGTCTCTGTGAATGCGGGAACGTTGCCTTAAATTTCAATCGCGCTGTAATGTGGATCTTCAGCGATATGGATTTAATCTAAGCCTATGTCTGAAGGAATAGATACAGGGCAGGCTACTAACATTGAGCTTGTCCACCGTCTTCCTCTTTTTCCTGTAGATGTAGTAGAAGAGGCCTGACATAGCCAAGCTGGTGCCTAGACACAGCCCCTCCACCGTCCTCACTGGAAACTCCTCCATCCCCCCCAACACACACTCCACACTGTCTCACCTCCCTGGTAACAGGCCTACAATACAGAAACAGACAGACATATAGCCAAACATGTGATGTAATATGAAGGAGGTTCTTCAGCATGAAAGCAAGGGGGCCATGTGTCACTCAGACAAGCTGCAATTAAATCTGCAGCTGCACGATTCTCTTTGAAATTTCAGTGAAATGCTTGAAAATGTCTATCATTTTCTTTTGACAGCACAGTCTCAGAGAACGTTGGTTGCTATTTATTTTCAGAACTTTGACAGTAAACTGGATAAGGCTACACAGAATGCAAAGACTCACAAAAAGATGTTGGGTTACTCACATTTGATTGGGTTAGGCTATATAACGTTATAATCTAAGAAAATATATTTCAAATACATCATAAGTATTACACAGATAATCATGACTATTTACATATTCAGTGCCTTCATCCACAAGCACAACAAAGTTGAAAATGTGTTTCATTTCATTGATTACTTACAATCTGTGTCGGTGGCATTATAGCTACCTTTGTGAATGGGGTACCTACATCTGTCTTTCTAGATGTCATATGATAACAGTGCTTGGGATCAAAAACCATTTATTGACTTTTAGGTGATTAACACACTCTTTACATTCCTTGGCTAAATAGAACTGGTTTAGCTAGATAATACCAAATTCATAGACGCCAACTACCTTTAGCGCCTATTGATGAAGCTACAGTTGAAGTCAGAAGTTTACATACACTTATGTTTTTCAACCACTCCACAAATTTCTTGTTAACAAACTATAGATTTGGCAAGTCGGTTAGGACATCTACTTTGTGCATGACACATGTAATTTTTCCAACAATTGTTTACAGACAGATTATTTCACTGTATCGCAATTCCAGTGGGTCAGAAGTTTACATACACTAAGTTGACTGTGCGTTTAAACAGCTTGGAAAATTCCAGAAAATGATGTCATGGCTTTAGAAGCTTCTGATAGGCTAATTGACATCATTTGAGTCAATTGGAGGTGTACCTGTGGATGTATTTCAAGGCCTACCTTCAAACTCAGTGCCTCTTTGCTTGACATCATGGGAAAATCAAAAGAAATCAGCCAAGACCTCAGAAATAAAATTGTACACCTCCACAAGTCTGGTTCATCCTTGGGAGCAATTTCCAAACGCCTGAAGGTACCACGTTCATCTGTCAAACAATAGTACGCAAGTATAAACACCATGGGACCACGCAGCCGTCATACCGCTCAGGAAGGAGACGCATTCTGTCTCCTAGAGATGAACATACTTTGGTGCGAAAAGTGCAAATCAATATATATTGAAGCAACATCTCAAGACATCAGCCAGGAAGATAAAGCTTGGTCGCAAATGGGTCTTCTAAATGGACAATGACCCCAAGCATACTTCCGAAGTTGTGGCAAAATGGCTTAAGGACAACAAAGTCAACGTATTGGAGTGGCCATCACAAAGCCCTGACCTCAATCCCATAGAACATTTGTGGGCAGAACTGAAAAAGCGTGTGCGAGCAAGGAGGCCTACAAACCTGACTCAGTTACACCAGCTCTGTCAGGAGAAACGGGCCAAAATGCACCCAACTTATTGTGGGAAGCTTGTGGAAGGTATTTGGCTAAGGTGTATGTAAACTTCCGACTTCAACTGCATCTTCTTCCCAGGGGACTTTTGTTAAGAGCCCCGACGCTCGGTCTGAATGTGAACACGGATCGCTTGCGGTACGGTTTTGAAAACATAAAGGAACGTATCTTTCATTTCAGCAATAATTAATTTCTAAAAACACACACCTTTATAGGGTTAGTGTTCTCATACGGCCATATCTCCATGTTACAGCGGAAGACGGACGGAAAACAGATGCGACCACCTGTGCTAATTAGTTATTTAGCATGCTCCGAACACCAGTGTATAACGGAAGGCGGCCGCCAGAAATGTGTTGTAACTGAAAAATACTGTCAGCTGCAACTGTAATAAAGCAGTTAAAACAGTGTAGTGTGTATATTTGGCATTTGTGAATTTTTTTTGATGTCACATGTTCTGTAAACAACAGGTGTAGACTAACAGTGAAATGCTTACTTAGGGGCCCTTCCCAACAACGCAGAGGAAAGAAAGATAAATAATAACACAAGGAATAAATAGACAATGAATAATGATAACTTGGCTATATACACGGGGTACGAGGTAATCGAGGCAAATATATGCATATAGGTAGGGATAATGTGACTAGGCAATAAACAGTAGCAGCAGCGTATGTGATGAGTCAAAAGAGTTAGTGCAAAAACGGTCAATGCAGATAGTCCGGGTAGCTATTTGGTTAACTATTTAACAGTCTTATGGCTTGGGGGTAGAAGCTGTTCAGGGTCCTGTTGGTTCCAGAGTTGGTGCATCAGAACCGCTTGCCATGAGGTAGCAGAGAGAACAGTGGTGGCTGGAGTCTGACCATTTTTAGGGCCTTACCCTGACCCCGCCTGGTATAGAGGTCCTGGATGGCAGGGAGCTCAGCCCCAGGGATGTACTAGGCCTAAGCACTACCCTCTGTAGCGCCTTGCGGTCGGATGCCAAGTAGCTGCCATTCAGCCAGTCAAGATGCTCTCAATGGTGCAGCTGTAGAACTTTGAGGATCTGAGGGCCCATGCGAAATCTTTTCAACCTCCTGAGGGAGAAGAGGCATTGTCATACCTTCTTCACAACTGTGTTTGTGTGTGGACACCGAGGAACTTGAAGCTCTCGACCCGCTCGACTACAGCCCCGTCGATGTGGATGGGGGCGTGCTCGGTCCTCCGTTTCCTGTAGTCCACGATCAGCTCCTTTGTTTTGCTGACGTTGAGGTAGAGGTTGTTGTCCTGGCACCAAACTGCCAGGTCACGGACCTCCTCCCTATAGGCTGTCTCATCATCGTCGGTGATTAAGCCAACCACCGTCGTGTCGTCAGCAAACTTAACGGCCCGTCAGGAAGTCCAGGATACAGTTGCAGAGGGAGGTGTTTAGTCCCAGGGTCCTGAGCTTAGTGATGCGTTTAGAGGGTACTATGGTATTGAACACTGAGCTATAGTCAATGAACAGCATTCTCACGTAGGTGTTCATCTTGTCCAGGCGGTAGAGGGCAGTGTGGAGCACAATAGAGATTGCGTCATGTGTGGATTTGTTGGGGCGGTATGCGAATTGGAGTGTGCCCAGGGTGACTGGGATGATGGTGTTGATGTGAGCCATGCCTTTCAAAGCATTTCATGGCTACAGATGTGAGTGCTATGGGGCGATAGTCATTTAGACAGGTTACCTTGGCGTTCTTGGGCACAGGGACTATGATAGTCTGCTTGCAACATGTAGGTATTACAGACTGGGTCAGGGAGAGGTTGAAAATGTCAGTGAAGACACTTGCCAGCTGGTCAGCAAATGCTCAGAGTACACGTCCTGGTAATCCGTCTGGCCCCGCAGCCTTGTGAATGTTAACCTGTTTAAAGGTCTTACTCACATCGGCTACAGAGAGCGAGATTGCACAGTTGTCTGGAACAGCTGGTGCTCTCATGCATGCTTCAGTGTTGTTTGTCTTGGAGCGAGCATAGAAGGAATTTAGCTCATCTGGTAGGCTTGCATCACTGGGCACTTATTAATGAAGCAGGTGACAGATGTGGTCATTTCCTCAATGTTATCCGATGAATCACAGAACATATTCCAGTCTGTGATAGCGAAACAGTCCTGTAGCTTAGCATCCGCTTCATCGGACCACTTCTGTATTGAGCGCGTCACTGGCACTTCCTGTTTGAGTTTTTGCTTGTAAGGAGGAATCAGAAGGATAGAGTTATGGTCACATTTGCCAAATGGAGGGCAAGGGAGAGCTTTGTATGTGTTTCTGTGTGTGGAGTAAAGGTGATCTAGAGTTGTTCCACCTCTAGTTGCACAGGTGACTTGCTGGTAAAAAATAGGTAAGGCGGATTTCAGTTTCCCTGCATTAAAATCACCGGCCACTAGGAAGCGCCACCTCTGGAAAAGAGAGTCCATTCTGTCACCCTGGGCGCAGTGTTTTGGACGTTGAAGGAGCACGTCGGAATCCGGGAGAAGAGAGCGCACTAGTTTGAAATAGAAAAGTGTTGCGGTAGCTATTAATAAAGAAGAACATCAAGACGAAGCAGCTGATTTACAAGTGGGATGCGCTGTTGAGCGCTACATCCCGAGGGGTTCGTGCTGATTGTATGGAGATTGTGACAGCCGATTAAATGGCATCCCTTGACAAGGTAAGAACAAGATGTATGTCAGGAGAAGTGCAGTATTATCATAACAGAGGCAGAGGAGGTCTAAGAGAGAGGGAGGAAGAGGGTGAGCTTGAGTCGGTTAAAAATGGCGGAAAAAAGGAAGATGGTTTGTTAAAGAAGAATGGTAGAAAGTGTAAGCAGAGTGAGTTGAAGACAGGAGGATAAATGGAAGAGAATGAAGGCGAAGTATCGGAGGTGTTAGGTGTGGTGAAGTTCTCCGAGCCCGAGGCTTGCACCGAGGCGAGGGTCAGGATAAAGATTAGTCTGTGACAGTAGGAGTGAAGTTTTGGGGAAAAGTGGACCCTTGCCTTTTGGCTGATCCATTTGTGGTTTCAGGGTGGGTGAAAACAGAGTTGGGTGTTATGGAATCGGTGAGGGTAACCAGAAGTGGTCTTGTGATAATTGTCTGTGTTTCTGCTGGTCAGGGGGAGCAGGAGCTCCGTGTTAAACGAATGGGGGTAAGAGATGTGAATTGTTTTGCTCTCATGAAAAGGACACCATTGCAAGGAGTGATTACTGGGGTAGCGGTAAATGTGAAAGCTGACCAACTGAAGGGGAAGATTCCCTGTTTGTGATGCTCGTCGTTTGGTGTGACGCAGACAGGGTGGCGTGAGTGGAGAAACAGAAGTCAGTGTCTGTTCTCTTGAGTCTTTGCCCGACAAAGTGATGTTAGGATATACAGTGAGGGAAAAAAGTATTTAATCCCCTGCTGTTTTTGTACATTTGCCCACTGACAAAGAAATGATCAGTCTATAATTTTAATGTTAGGTTTATTTGAACAATGATAGACAGAATAACAACAACAAAAATCCAGAAAAACGCATGTCAGAAATGTTATAAATTCATTTGCATTTTAATGAGGGAAATAAGTATTTGACCCCCTCTCAATCAGAAAGATTTCTGGCTCCCAGGTGTCTTTTATACAGGTAACGAGCTGAGATTAGGAACACACTCTTAAAGGGAGTGCTCCTAATCTCAGCTTGTTACCTGTATAAAAGACACCTGTCCACAGAAGCAATCAATCAATCAGATTCCAAACTCTCCACCATGGCCAAGACCAAAGAGCTCTCCAAGGATGTCAGGGACACGATTGTAGACCTACACATGGCTGGAATAGGCTACAAGACAAATCACCAAGCAGCTTGGTGAGAAGATGACAACAGTTGGTGCGATTATTCGCAAATGGAAGAAACACAAAAGAACTGTCAATCTCCCTCGGCCTGGGGCTCCATGCAAGATCTCACCTTGTGGAGTTGCAATGATCAAGAGAACGGTGAGGAATCAGACCAGAAACACACGGGCGGATCTTGTCAATGATCTCAAGGCAGCTGGGACCATAGTCACCAAGAAAACAATTGGTAACACACTACGCTGTGAAGAACTAAAATCCTGCAGTGCCCGCAAGGTCCCCATGCTCAAGAAAGCACATATACAGGCCCATCTGAAGTTTGCCAATGAACATCTGAATGATTCAGAGGAGAACTGGGTGAAAGTGTTGTGGTCAGATGAGACCAAAATCAAGCTCTTTGGCATCAACTCAACTCGCCATGTTTGGAGGATGAGGAATGCTGCCTATGACCCCAAGAACACCATCCCCACCGTCAAACATGGAGGTGGAAACATTGTGCTTTGGGGGTGTTTTTCTGCTAAGGGGACAGGACAACTTCACCGCATCAAAGGGACGATGGACGGGGCATTGAAAATGGGTCGTGGATGGGTATTCCAGCATGACAATGACCCAAAACACACAGCCAAGGCAACAAAGGAGTTGCTCAGGAAGAAGCACATTAAGGTCCTGGAGTGGCCTAGCCAGTCTCCAGACCTTAATCCCATAGAAAATCTGTGGAGGGAGCTGAAGGTTCGAGTTGGTAAACTTAAGCCTCGAAACCTTAATGACTTGGAGAAGATCTGCAAAGAGGAGTGGAACAAAATCCCTCCTGAGATGTGTGCAAACCTGGTGGCCAACTACAAAAACGTCTGACCTCTGTGATTGCCAACAAGGGATTTGCCACCAAGTACTAAGTCTTTTTTTGCAGAGGGGTTAACTAAGTCATGTTTTGCAGAAGGGTCAAATACTTATTTCTCTCATTAAAATGCAAATCAATTCATAACATTTTTTACATGTGTTTTTCTGGATTTTTTTGTTGTTATTCTGTCTCTCACTGTTCAAATAAACCTACCATTAAAATTATAGACTGATCATGTCTTTGTCAGTGGGCAAACGTACAAAATCAGCAGGGGATCAAATAATTTTTTCCCTCACTGTATAAGTTATCCTGTACTAGCTTTTGTGCCAAATACATTACGTTGTTACAGGTGTCAAGCTTATGGGCATCTGGCAGCAGTGTGTAGGAGGGAGGCATGAGACAAAGGAATGAGTAGCATTGGGGAAAGTAGTGGTATGTGTCAATTGTAGGGGTGGCCATGGGGCTGGGGATCAGAAATGTCCCATGCGAGAGAGGCAGGTTGAGGTTTCCAGGGTTAGAGTTGTGCAGAAGTTGTCATATGCTGAAATGTTACAGGGAGTGTTAAGTGGCAGTGTCCCATCCTTTCAGGCTGTTGGCCTGAAGTAGGACTAAATAGATTTAAATAGTGGAGCATGGTATTCATTATTATTTTTTATGTTTTGTGAGTGTAGTGTTAGATGGTAGGGTATTAGTATTATTTATGTATTTTTTAAAGCAAAGTATAAGGGAGTTCTACTCCAGTCTAGAAGATGGTGGTAATGCAACATTTATTGGATGCCAACCACTGTTAAACCTCATCGAAGAAGAGCCGCCTCGATGTGCATTTTCTTGTTTGCTTACGGCCCTATACAGCTCGTTGAGTGCAGTCTTAGTACCAGCATCGGTTTGTGGTAGTAAATAGACAGCTATGAAAAATATAGTTGAAAACTCTCTTGGTAAATAGAATGGTATTCTAACTCAGGCGAGCAAAACCTTGAGACTTCCTTAACATTAGAGATCACACACCAGCAGTTGTTACCAAAGAGACACACACCTCCCCCATTAACCTTACCCGAAGCTGCCGTTCGGTCTTGACGATGCATAGAAAAACCAGCTAGATGTATATTATCTACGTCCTTGTTCAGCCACGTCTCCGAGAAACATAGGATATTACAATTCTTCCAGTTGATAGGTTAGTCTCGAACGGAGCTCGTCTAGTTTGTTGTCTAGTGATTGTAAGTTTGCCAACAGAACAGAGTAGAGGCGGTTTATTTACTCGCCAACGTAGTCTCGTCAGGGAGCCCGCTCGTTTGCCTCTCTTGCGCCGTCTCTTCCTTTTTCGAGTCCGGGGGATTAGAGCCTGGTCCGGAATGAGCAGTTCATCCACAGCTGCCGACTAGTTGAAGTAGAAATCTTCATCCAAATCGAGGTTAGTGATTACTGTTCTGATATCCAGAAGCTGTTTTCAGTCATTGGAAACGATGGCGGAAATATTATGTACAATAAAATAGTAAAGCCAGTTCTAATATGTAGCCAGCCCAGAACTACATTTAACAAAATATCACGTTGAACATTGACATTGTGCTATCTCAGATACCTACTTCGATAAACATCCAACTTGCTTGCCGGCTGGCTCACTGAGAGTGGATAGAAATAATAATTACAGTTGGTTAGTTAGCTAGCAAATGTTTTCTTAGCTGGAAGACCTGCCATTGACCTTGTCTTTGTTTAGTCTTAAATGTGGCCTATGTCCGCAAAGGTTAGACCATAACATGACAAGAGTATTTGTGCACTCTTTTGCAACAGCCAAATGGTCTTCTTCTTCTTCTTCAATGAGGTTTAATGGCGGTTGGCATCCAATTTGTTGCATTACCGCCACCTACTAGACTGGAGTACAACTCCCTTTTCTTTTCCTTGAAAAATAAAATAAAACAAAGCAAAGAAATACCCTACCATCTAACACTACACTCACAAATTCAAAACTATTACTAATAATTAACGCCACCCTTCTCCACAATTTAAATATACTCAGTCCTACCTCATGCCCTCAACCTGAAATGATGGGACATCACCACTTAACACTCCCTGTAACTCTTCTGCTGTCAAGTCTCGCACACCCAAAGATCTCTCTGCAGCTGCCACCACAACCTCAATTTTCTTCGACTTAAGTTCCATCCCTGCAGTACAATTAATAACCATTGCTATAAACGCTAAAAATCCAATCTTACTGAAACATATCGCTTGTTGGCCTATCCCACTGTACTGGTACATATCTCCTACTATCACCCCCCCACCCCCCCTCTTCCTCTACTTTCTTCACTGCCTCCGCAAATGACAATTTCTTCTCTACTCTTACCCTGGAAACCTCAACCTGCTTCTCTCGCACTGGACATGTCTGATCCCCAGCCCCATGGCCACCCCTACAATTAGCATATACCACCACTTTCCCCACTGCTTCACACTCCTTTGTCTTATGCCCTTCTGCACACTTCTCACATCTTGGAATCTCCCTCCTTCATACTGCTGCCACATTCCCATAAGTTTGACACCTGTAACATCGTAATGTACTCGGCACATAAGCTCGCACAGGATAACTTATATATCCAACTTTCACTTTGTCAGGCAAAGACTCAACTTCGAAACTCAAAAGAACAGACAATGACTCTCCTGTTTCCCCACTCTCGCCACCCTGTTTGCGTCGCACCAAACGAGAAGCATCAACTTCAGTTGATCCACTTTTACATGTACTGCTACCCCTGTAGCCAAATGGTCAAACTTGACTTAATCAATTAGTATTGTACATTTTTACCTTTGAAAAAACTCAAGTTGTCATCCCCGGAAGAATGGGCTATTTTCGTTTTGGTCACATGACATGTTCCACTTCCTTGAAGCGACGCATCTTCGGGTGAAGCAAATGGCCCGGTTCCCCGGGTGAGTGGAGATTTCACTTAAAGATGCACTATACAGAACTCACTCCGCCATTTCCTGGATGCAAAAATTTGAATAGTTTGCCTAATTTCAGTTTATGTGACAAAACAAGCAAGTATTGTATCATCTAAACCGCTGTGAAGCTGGTGTACAAAACAAAAAGTAGAAAGACGTAAAAACGAAACTTCAGAAAGGGAAGTATAGAAATAGCGCACATAGAACACATCTACCGCTTCTTAGACTTGCTTTCAATGAGAATGACAGATCAATAAAAAACATTTATGTGAATTTGGTCAGGTGGCATCTTTAATGACCAATGGAATGGTCTAAAATCTATAAACTCCTCACACCCACGGCACTGGGTCATGCAAAACGAACTCTCCCAATGACTGGCTGAAGCTTTACTGAATCATGTGACGGGGTAGACATTTGTACTGTTGCGGCTTCTCCACGTAGCTAGCGTAGGCCGAAATGGCAGGAGGTGTGAAGAAGAAGTCATCCACTGGTCCACCGTCTCGAGTGTGGGTGACACTTCGTACGCTATGGCAGGAGAAACATTTGATATTATTCAAGGCGGAGTACACAATACTGGTCGCCTCTGTTCTGTGGTTCCTGGAGATCGGAATAAACATATGGGTCATACAAAAAGTAGCATGTAAGTAGTTTGCTAGAATGCTAGCGGTTTAGCTTGAGCATGCAGCTAGCCTTAAAATGATACTTCGGGATTCTGGCAACGAGGTCCTTCATCTTGAGGCCCTTTATCTATTTCCCCAGAGTCAGATGAACTAATGGATACCATTTTTATGTCTCTGTCCAGTATGAAGGAAGGAAGAAAGGTAGTGGTAGTTTCGCGAGCCAATGTTAACACGTGTTAGCGCAATGATTGGAAGCCTATGGGTATCTACTAGCATGCTCAATATTCAACTCTTGAAACACCTTATTATTCGTAGGGTTTTCAGCAGTTTGCTTCGCCCACAGTTGGCTGCACTTGAACTACAATTCCGAAGCTGTGTTTTTAACGTTTAGAAACGTCAATAATAATCACTTGCGAAACTGTTTTTGAAATCTATGCCCCTTTCATATCGGCAAGAAATTAACTTTTAATAAATACAAAATACACTTACTGTAACAGTTCTGCACTGATCCATAAGCTGTGTGTGCCACCAGTTGCGAACTACACTTCCTCCCCAGTTACGCTTACAGACAGGTGTTCAGAGTACACTAGATAGCTAATTAGGACAGGTGGCGTCCATCTGTCTTCCGTAGCTCAGTTGGTAAAGCATGGCGCTTGCAACCCCAGGGTCGTGGGTTCGTTCCCCACGGGGGGGGCAGTATGAAAATGTATGCACTCGCTAACTGTAAGTTGCTCTGAATAAGAGTGTCTGCTAAATGACTTAAATGTAAATGAGCGATGTAACATGGAAATATGGCTGTGTGGGATCACTAACCCAAACTATTGTGATATGAAAGATGGCAAGATTCCTTATGTTTCCAAAACCGTACCACAAGTGATGCATGTTAACCTTCAGAACGAGCGTAGGGGCCATTAACAAAGCTCCCCGACCAGAAGATGCCTTCATAGACGCTAAAGGTAGTGTGTATGAATGGGCTACCTTTCTTTTAGCCAAGGTATAACAGCTACTATGAAAGAATTCACTAGGGAAACTGCATATACTGTCAAAAGTTAGATTAACTAGTTACCATTGTTGTTTTAAAATGCCAGGTTGTGTTTCCTACTACTACAATAAGTTACAACACATGCTTGTGCTAGCAACAGAACTTAAACTTGCCACAACTTTTGAGAGCGCCACATATTTGATCCATACTAGGCAACATCACTATCTAGTGCAGGGTTCTTCAATTCCGGTCCTGGAGGGCCGAAACACTTCTGTTTTTTATTTCTACCAGGTAGTTAATTGCACTCACCTGGTGTCCCAGGTCTGAATTAGCCCCTGATTAGAAGGAGAGGATGAAAAACAGAGGTGTCTCGGCCCTCCAGGACCGGAATTGAAGAACCCTGATCTAGTGTAACTGGGGAGGAAGTGTAGCGGAAGTGTAGTTTGTCGGCTGGAGGCACACAGCCGTATGGAACTGTGCAAACCTGCTACAGTAAGTTAATTTTTATTATAAATAATATTTATTGCAGAAATGAAAGAAGTTCCATATGTTTTTGAAAACCGTATCACAAGCAATTTTTAATTATTTAGGTTTCGAAATGTTAAAACAGAGTGTCAAGATTGTAGTTCACATGGTACCACCGGTAAGCGGTGCTTATAGCTGAGAACCCTTGGTATAAGGCAGAATGCCTTGGGTTCTCGAGAGCAAGTAGAAAGGGTCGGAAACAATTTAACTAACCTGTTCTTGCCGATACTTCGTTCTCGATTCGGAAGAAAAGTGTATCTTATAAGTGTCTGTGTTCAGCTGCAGGTGGTTGTCCAAAAACCAGAGAATATTCAGAAAGATAGTTGATTTTACTATCTTTCAAAATATACTCTGGTTTTTGGAGAACCACCTGCAACCCAACACAGACATTTATAAGATGCACTTTTCTTCCGACCCGAGAATGATGGAAGTTGAAAAAAATTAACATATCTCAGTTTTAATGTATAGCTGCAGTTTCTTGTTTATTATTATTTTTCTTTGGTACTTGCTGCTGACCTGTTCTTACGGTCACTTGATTCTTTAGGTACCTTCATCCACATCTTTGACCCCATTTGTTGAATGTATATTACAAGTTATTGCCAATGCCACCGGTCATTCATTGGTGAACGTCTTCTCCTGCAGACACAGAGATCGACTGGAAGGCGTATATGGATGAGGTAGAGGGAGTCATCAACGGCACCTATGACTACACCCAGCTCAAAGGAGACACAGGCCCTCTGGTGTAAGTTACACTACTCTATACGTGGCACTCTACAAGTTAAGGAACCAGGTTCCAATACCAGTATTGGCAACCCCAGGGATGTATTCATTTGTCGGATTCCATTGCAAAAACGTTTTGCAACGGAAACCATTTACCGTTTACTCTAGGAAGCAAAGGGAAGCAAACGAAACGGGGAGGGACCTACCAGAATTTGTCCAATAGAAAAGCTAGTTTTCGTTGTAAAACGCTTTCCTTTTGGAGTAAACGGCAGTGGTGTTAAGTAAAAAAACTAAAGTAGTTTTTTGGGGTGTCTGTATTTTACGTTACTATTTATATTTTGGACAACTTTTACTTCACTACACTACATTCCTAAAGACAATAATGTACTTTTTACTCCATACATTTTCCCTGACACCCAAAAGTACTCGTTACATTTTGAATGCTTAGCAGGACAGGAAAATGGTCAAATTCACACACTTATCAAGAGAACATCTCTGGTCATCCCTACTGCCTCTGATCTGGCAGGCTCACTAAACACAAATGCTTTGTTTGTAAATTATGTCTGAGTGTTGGAGTGGGCCCCTGGCTATCCGCAAATAAAATTTTTAAAAAAAACAAGAAAATCGTGCCGTCTGGTTTTCTTAATAAGTAATTTTAAATGATTTTTACTTTTGATACTTAAGTATATTTAAAACTAAATACTTTGACTTTTACTCAAGTAGTATTTTACTGGCTGACTTTCACTTTTACTTGAGCCATCTTGACGTGAACAAGATCACAGTCTTGAAACTGATTTTTGAACCTACCTATCCAGATACCCAGCAGGGTTTGTGTACATCTTCACAGCGTTGTATTACATCACCAACCACGGGGTGAATATCCGCCTGGCCCAGTACCTGTTTGCTGTCTTCTACCTGCTCACCCTGCTGCTCGTCTTCAGGATATACCACCGCACCAAGAAGGTGAGATGCAACACGTATTCCTTTGTAGGCTATTTGGCAAGATTATGATATTTATTTGGTACTTTGCTAGTTGTCATTACCCAACAAATATTTAGTTTTTATTGCAACTTGGACTTCATCACTTTTATAATACTGTAATCTGTTCCATGAATTTTTTTTTTTTATTGCAATTTTGACTCTCCTCCTCTCCAGGTTCCTCCTTATGTGTTCTTCTTTGTGTGCTGTGCCTCCTACCGGATCCACTCCATCTTCGTCCTGCGTCTTTTCAACGACCCCGTGGCCATGATGATGCTGTTTGGGGCCGTCAATCTTTTCCTGGACGGCCGCTGGACTTTGGGCTGTGGGCTCTACAGGCAAGTGTAAACTCTGGTCCTGCGCAGCTTTGATAATTTCAGTTTAACTTGGTTCAGTGTGCGGGCCAATATGGGACACCTTTCATGATAATAGCGCTCTAATTTAGATTGACAGAACTTAGTTGCTGAACTCAACATCTATGACTGTGGTAGCCCTTTTCACGTGGTCTGAATGACAACTTCCTCAACCTCTTTTGTGGACAGTTTAGCAGTGTCTGTGAAGATGAACGTGCTCCTGTTCGCCCCGGGCCTCCTCTTCTTGCTGCTGTCTGAATTTGGCCTGATGAGGACCATACCCAAGCTCTCTCTCTGTGCTGCCATCCAGGTTTGGATCTCCTTCATCAGCTTTAACTACAACATTTAGATTTTACTCATACAGTGAGGGAAAAAAGTATTTGATCCTCTGCTGATTTTGTACGTTTGCCCACTGACAAAGACATGATCAGTCTATAATTTTAATGGTAGGTTTATTTGAACAGTGAGAGACAGAATAACAACAAAAAAATCCAGAAAAATGCATGCCAAAAATGTTATAAATTGATTTGCATTTTAATGAGGGAAATAAGTATTTGACCCCCCTCTCAATCAGAAAGATTTCTGGCTCCCAGGTGTCTTTTATACAGGTAACGAGCTGAGATTAGGAGCACACTCTTAAAGGGAGTGCTCCTAATCTCAGCTTGTTACCTGTATAAAAGACACCTGTCCACAGAAGCAATCAATCAATCAGATTCCAAACTCTCCACCATGGCCAAGACCAAAGAGCTCTCCAAGGATGTCAGGGACAAGATTGTAGACCTACACAAGGCTGGAATGGGCTACAAGACCATCGCCAAGCAGCTTGGTGAGAAGGTGACAACAGTTGGTGCGATTATTCGCAAATGGAAGAAACACAAAAGAACTGTCAATCTCCCTCGGCCTGGGGCTCCATGCAAGATCTCACCTCGTGGAGTTGCAATGATCATGAGAACGGTGAGGAATCAGCCCAGAACTACACGGGAGGATCTTGTCAATGATCTCAAGGCAGCTGAGACCATAGTCACCAAGAAAACAATTGGTAACACACTACGCCGTGAAGGACTGAAATCCTGCAGCGCCCGCAAGGTCCCCCTGCACATATACAGGCCCGTCTGAAGTTTGCCAATGAACATCTGAATGATTCAGAGGAGAACTGGATGAAAGTGTTGTGGTCAGATGAGACCAAAATCGAGCTCTTTGGCATCAACTCAACTCGCCGTGTTTGGAAGAGGAGGAATGCTGCCTATGACCCCAAGAACACCATCCCCACCGTCAAACATGGAGGTAGAAACATTATGCTTTGGGGATGTTTTTCTGCTAAGGGGACAGGACAACTTCACCGCATCAAAGGGACGATGGACGGCGCCATGTACCGTCAAATCTTGGGTGAGAACCGTGGATGGGTATTCCAGCATGACAATGACCCAAAACACACGGCCAAGGCAACAAAGGAGTGGCTCAAGAAGAAGCACATTAAGGTCCTGGAGTGGCCTAGCCAGTCTCCAAACCTTAATCCCATAGAAAATCTGTGGAGGGAGCTGAAGGTTCGAGTTGCCAAACATCAGGCTCGAAACCTTAATGACTTGGAGAAGATCTGCAAAGAGTGGGACAAAATCCCTCCTGAGATGTGTGCAAATCTGGTGGCCAACTACAAGAAACGTCTGACCTCTGTGATGGGGTTGCCACCAAGTACTAAGTCATGTTTTGCAGAGGGGTCAAATACTTATTTCCCTCATTAAAATGCAAATCAATTTATAACATTTTTGACATGCGTTTTTCTGGATTTTTCTGTTGTTATTCTGTCTCTCACTGTTCAAATAAACCTACCATTAAAATTATAGGCTGATCATGTCTTTGTCAGTGCGCAAACGTACAAAATCAGCAGGGGATCAAATACTTTTTTCCCTCACTGTAGATGCTTCTTGTCCCCAGAGTTCCATCCAATTTCCACATTGTGTGGACAATTAGGTTTTGCCTACTCTAGTTCCATTCTGTGGATTGTCCATCTTTACTCCACCTCTCCATATCACAGTTGTTGCTGGGCCTACCCTTCCTGATGGAGAATCCAATTGGCTATTTGACCATGGCCTTTGACCTGGGTCGTCAGTTCATGTTCACGTGGACAGTAAACTGGCGCTTCCTGCCGGAGTGGCTGTTCCTGAGTCGCTACTTCCACCTGGTGCTCCTGGCCACCCACATGCTAGCCCTGCTGCTGTTCGCCCTGCACCGCTGGAAGAGGTGAGAGAGAGGGTTTCCCAGGTGGCTACTGGGGTTATCTCTAGGACCAGAGTTTTTCATGGTCAGGCGCAAACTCTTGGCCCTAGTGTAGCCTAAAATTAGATACAGCCTAAATTATATTTGTACACGAATGCTTGAGTCTGGCTAGCTCTGCTTTTTGTTGTTAACCAGATGTGCTTTCTGATGAGTTAAACCAACACATTTTCCCCTCAGGCCTGGAGAGAGCATCATGGAACTGCTGAAGGAGCCAGGCAAGAGAGTCATTCTTGCACAGAAACTCACCTCCGATCATATCCTTTCCTCAGTCTGTGTCTCTGGAGCCATGACTAGAAACACAGTACCAGTGTGTATCTTCTGACTTTTTCCAGATTTTGTTGTTACAAAGTGGGATTAAAATGCAATTGTTTGTCAATGATCTACACACAATACTCTGTAATGTCACATTTAAAAATGTTTTATGGAAAATAAAACACAAATATTTCTTCATTAGATAAGTAATAATAATAATATGCCATTTAGCAGACGCTTTTATCCAAAGCGACTTACAGTCATGTGTGCATACATTTTTGTGTATGGGTGGTCCCGGGGATCGAACCCACTACCCTGGCGTTACAAGCGCCGTGCTCTACCAGCTGAGCTACAGAGTATTCAACCCCCTGAGTCGATACATGTTAGAATCACCTTTAGCAGCGATTACAGCTGTGAGTCTTTCTGGGTATTAAGTCTCTAAGAGTTTTGCACACCTAGATTGTACAATATTTGCCCATTTTTATTATTGAAAAAATTATTCAAGCTTTGTCAAGTTGGTTGTTGCTAGACAGCCATTTTCAAGTCTTGCCATAGATTTTCAAGCCGATTTCAATCAAAACTGTAATAGGCTACTCGGGGATATTCAGTGTCATCTTGGTAAGCAACTCCAGTGTATATTTGGCCTTGTGTCTTAGGTTATTGTCCTGCTGAAAGGTGAATTAATCTCCCAGTTTCTGTTGGAAAGCAGACTGAACCAGGTTTTCCTCAAGGATTTTGCCTGTGCTTAGCTCTATTCCATTTTTTTTATCCAAAAAAAACTCCATAGTCCTTGCCGATGACAAGTATATCCATAATGTTATGTAGCCACTACCATGCTTGAAAATATGAAGTGGTACTCAGTGACGTGTTATTGGATTTGCCCCAAACATAACGTTTTGTATTCAGAACAAAAAGTTAATTCCTTTGCCACATTTTTTGCAGTATTACTTTCGTGCCTTATTGCAAACAGGATGCATGTTTTGGAATATTCTTATTCTGTACAGGCTTCCTTCTTTTCACTCAGTCATTTAGGTTAGTATTGTGGAGTAACTACCATGTTGTTGATTCATCCTCAGTTGTCTCCTATCACAGCCATTAAACTCTGTAACTGTTTTAAAATCATCATTGGCCTCATGGTGATATTCCTGAGCGGTTTCCTTCCTCTCCGGCAACTGAGTTAGGAAGGACGCCTGTATCTTTGTAGTGACTGGGTGTATTGATACACCATCCAAAGCCTAATTAATAACTTCCCCATGCTCAAAGGGATATTCAGCATCTGCTTTTTATTTTATCAGTGCTCTTCTTTGCGAGTCATTGGAAAACCTCCCTAGTCTTTGTGGTTGAATCTGTGCTTGAAATTCACTGCTCGACTAAGGGACCTCACAGATAATTGTATGTGTGGTGTACAGAGATGGGGTAGTCATTCATAAATCATGTTAAACACTATACTGTAAGTCCATCCAACTTATTATGTGACTTGTTTAGTAAATTTTTACTCCTGAACTTATTTAGGCTTGCCATAACAAAGGAGTTGAATACTTATTGACTCAAGATGTTTCAGCTTTTTATTAATTTGTAAATAATAAAATAATAATAATCCATTTTGACATTATGGGGTAGATCAGTGACCCAAAATCTAAACTTAATCCATTTTAAATTCAGGCTGTAACACAACAAAATGTGGAAAAGTAAAAGGGTGTGAATACTTTCTGATTGCACTGTATATTAGACCTTAACAGCCGATCACAGATGGTGCTGATCCTTTTCACATCTAACTTCATCGGCATGTGCTTCAGCCGCTCGCTGCACTACCAGTTTTATGTCTGGTACTTCCACACCCTGCCCTTCCTGCTCTGGAGTGGAGGGGTCAAGAAGCTGGCTCACCTACTCCGGTAAGAGGGGGTACCTTTTGGCAACAATGTGTAGAAATGGGAAGTGTCTTAACCTCCAACGTAAATCTGCACAAATCTTAATTCAGGCCTTTGCAGAATTGGGACCATTTGCACATTTCTGTCTACTATAAATTCAGAGCCTAGATGGGTCAAAAGGCCTGTTATTGTCGCTCTTACAATATGTCTTATCTGGTCTTTCTGTGGACAGGGTTTTGATCCTAGGTCTGGTGGAGCTGTCGTGGAACACCTACCCGTCTACCATATACAGCTCAGCAGCCCTCCACGTGTGTCACCTCATCATGCTGCTGTCCTTGTGGTTTGCCCCCGCCCATCCCCCAGCCCCCCAGGGAGAGAAGGCCAAGAGCCAGTAAGCTGATCCCCTAGGGGACCCTCCCGTCCTTGGGGTCTGGTCGACCATCTCCACCCTGCTCTCACCGTGTCTTGCCTATCTCCCCCTCTCACTATGACGCACAGGGGGTTATTGAGGTGGGGTCTGTCTTAAACGCATCGGTTTGTTGCTACCCACCTCTCCGTAGCTCTGCTAATGTATAGCGTAACATACAGGTGGGAGAAGGGACTGAGTGAGACTGCATGTGGGGTGGATTACAATGTGGCAGTCATGTGCAGGTTGGTGGCGTGGGAGGAGGCTGAAAACAATTAGGATTCTCAGGTTAAAGAATGAAATAATATACATCTAAGAGTGGGAGTCTAGTGGTGTGGAGAAACGCTGAGTGTTTTGCTGTGTCGCCTAGAACATCTTAAGGAAGGATCTCTTACTTACAGTATGTTTTTTTTTAATGTGTAAACTATCTTTAGCCCATGATTAGTCTTGTTAAGTATTATCTGGTCTTGGTGATTTTAATAGAGAATAATGAGAATCTCTTAGGTCCTCATCCTGGCGATCAGCTGTTCTGAACTTCTGTTACTGGACCATTTGTTGTTGTAAAGATGGTTTCTATGTGCGTTTGTCCTTAACTCCGTACCAGGGAATTTTTACTTTACTACTACTTATTGACGAAGTTTTGAATTGAACTGTCCTCTGCGATAGATTCTAGTCCTCTAACTCAGTTGGTAGAGAATGGCGCTTGCAATGCCAGGATCATGGGTTCGATTCAAGGGACCACCCATACGTAAAAATATTATGCACTCTTGACTATAAGTCGTTTTGGTTAAAAACTTCCGGTAAATGGCATATATTATTATATTAAAGATTTCTGGTTGTCCTTAACTCCATACCAGGGAATTTGAACTTTACTGCTACTTATTAAAGCTTTAAATTGAACCGTCCTCTGCGATAAGCGTTTGGCGCCAACCACTGGGCACAATAGGAATGACGTTGCCTAGCAATCACAAGGCCTATCATAGGCAAATACGTAATATATGTAATTTCATATAATATGACCATGCAGAACTAAGCTGTTGACAATCATGAATATCTGTCTATTGTTTTTTATTTTCTAATAGTTTCTTTCAGAGAATGTGGATCAGTGTGTGCACTAGACTAAATAGATAAAGCCCATTTCCCACACCCAGATTAAGCCTACCCCTGGACAAAACACACGCTAAAGTTATTTTAGTCCAAGAATAGGCTTAAATGGATAGTTCCGCAAGATAACATATTTAGGTAATTTCGCTGAACTGTCCCTTTTTAATCTGAGAATGGAACTGTTCCTTTAAGTGTGATTTTGTATTTTTATGAGCTGCCATAGATGTTTACCATAGTTTAGTGCTCATATTTGTTTGCTGATGTTTGTTTGATTTGCGTGTGTGTTACACATGAGGACGGAGATGGGAGATTGATTGTTTTATTCTGTTGATAAAGATTAAAAATAAAAGGCATATCTCTAAAGAAATTTGAATTTAATGTCATTCATTTACAAACAAGATTTCATAGTAATTTCATTCTACACTAATGCAAGTTATAGACATACTACCCAGTTAATAGGCCATTCAGCTAAGAAAAAATAGAGCAGTAACTATAAAATGTACTAAATCAAAGTAATGTAAGCTTTAGATGATCAAGGCATTATTGTAGTTTCATATGGTGTACGTCAAGGCCACTTGGGTTAGTCAAGTAGTGTTTGCATCGTCAAGTCTCAATTTGACCTAATTCAATGGCTTTAAAATGATCTTGGCACTGGGGAAATATGGAATCGGGTTTCTTTATGTAGACAGGGCACAGAGGCATTAGTATTAGCAACCAGAGGTGCAACTGAACCTAATTATTTAAGGTAGGAGGCAACACTGGTGACACTGTCACATCAAATGTTGTTGTGACAGTAGTAAGAAATGTCACACATTGTGGTGGTTTTAACATGGTGACTATGTGGTCACATGTTGTTGGGATTGTAGCAGAGCATGTTGAGCTGGATGTTCTCGTCCCAGTGGCGGAGCAGCAGAAACAGCTGTCTGGCAGCCCCCTTCAGCCCGGCCAGGTCCACCCCCTCCGGCAGCTCCTGGCCCCGTAGCCAGAAGTCCGCCTTGGCTGCCACCAGCTCCCACTCCATGAAAAACCCTGCACAGCGGTGCTCCAGCCAGGCCAGAGCCACGGCCGTGGCCCAGCTCGAGCCCTCCAGGTCTCCCAGAGCCAGCTGGTCGCTCCCCTGGGGGTCTGGAGCTGCTGGATCCAACAGAGAACCCTCACAGACGTCAGTCTCTGAGCCGCGCCCGCTGTCTGCCTGGGTCTGGGGGAGAGGGCCACCTGTCATGTCAGGGGAGCCTTCCTCGGAGCTAGGGGGGTCGAGGAGGGTCATCAGGGGCTCTCGGCCCCGGTCGGAGAAGCGTCTCCTGCGGAGTCGGGGGTCCAGGATTGGGGGAGGGTTGTCTGGGGTGTGGGGGCTAACCGAGGGCTTGGTACCAGTAGAGGTGGAGGTGTGGTGATGGGGGGGACTAGGAGGCTTGGTAGAGGAGGTGGTGTGGTAGAGGGGGGTACCAGTTGGGAGCTTGGTAGTGGTGGAGGAGGGGATTGTTGGGGCGTTGGCGGAGGTGCAGCGGAAGGGGGGGCTGAGGCTGCTGCGGTGGCGGCTGTAGGGGGACGCCCTCTTCAGACGGTCCAGGGGAATCTGGATGCAGTCAGAGTAGACCTCTGTCAGGAGGAAGGCCCCAGATGCCAACTGGAGACGTACCTGTGGAGGAGATACCAGATACTAACTCTGAAATCAGGTACCCACCTCTAAATACTTCTTGTAGATTCATTATCAGTAGAGTACTTACAGTAAAGTTCACAGCAAGTTATCAGAAGTCTCAAAACTTGAAGGGCATTTCCACCACTTTTCAACCTCATATTCATTATCTCCAGCACCATACCATTGTCTACATATGTTAAATTGGCACACTTCTATGTTTTGTAGTACAAATATAAAGTTAGAAAGTGCAATTTGATGACGTCAAAGGTACAAACCTTTAAAAAAAAAACTGGGATTTTCAAACCCTATGAGATCGCGGACACTCATGCGGAGAGCAGGAAAATGCTCTCCCCCTGGCTAGAAACTCGTTGAAGGTTTTGAAAATAATGTTTTTTTTCCTACATTTAATCCTTCTCAATGATGTCACCGAGTAGGACTTTTTAGGAACTTTTATCTTTTTAACCACAGAACATAGAAACGCATAGTTTTCACATATGTAGATACTGGTATGATGCTGGAGATACTGAATATGAGGTTGAAAAGGGGTGGAATTGCCCTTTAATACAATTGCACTAAGGGCTTGATTAAATCAGATCCACTTTAGCCAACATCCACATGGCGGTTGTTTTGACAGTGTTGGAGGTGGAACTGCGTTAAGAGCTGTCAAATCCACAAGTGGCTCCTGACATTATACCTAAAGTGGACATTGCCATTGGCTGCACGGAGTCAATCCCATGCAGCCTTCTTTACAAGTTCAAACACTGGAATGTGAGATGTAATCTACACCTCAATTAGGATGATAGAAATCCTCATTATTTAGTTTAATTATTTTTCGATTTAATTGTAATTATTTCTATATAGCCTACACTTTCTCATTCTGAACTTCTAACACGAGTGGGGCAGGTGTGGCTTCGTGAAAATGATCGCAAGAGCAGCTGCTCACCGATTTGACGGCTCCAATGCAGTTCCACCTCCGACACCTCCAAAACATCCGCTATGCGGGTGTCTGCTATTGCCGGTTAACGCTTGATCTGATTGAATCTAGGCCTAAGACCTTTTAGGCACAGCCTGGATCTATTGTAATGATCGTATGATCAAATGCAGTGAGAGGACAGTTGTCTCACCAGAGGCAGGTAGTCTGGGTTCTCTGTGTCTGTGTGTTTCTCAGCCTCAGCAGAGAGACAGTGGCCCTTCAGAGGGGCCTGCTTCCCAGAGGAGTTAGGCGACCTCAGTCTGCCAAGAGGGAATCTGGAGCCAAAGAAGCTCTCCACAGACTTGCTTTCCGCTGAGCGTTGGGATCGGGTGGAGGAGGTGCCGGACACGGCTGATGGACTGGCAGGGTAGGGATTGCCCCCTGCACCTGAGGCACACACGTTTGATAAACAATAATGAATGGCTTTATTACAACAGGTTGTAGAGAGGTTATAGTGAAACAACTCATGAACTCGGATATTGAGTGATCGAATGGTCGAAATGTTCGGTTTGAGATTCAGCCAATGTAATGGCACTTACTGCTGTCCCAAGACTTCAGGCTGCAGGGGGAGGCAGGAGTATCATCCCTGTCTGGGAAACAACCAAACAAAATGGCTACTACAAGACCTGGAGTTCATTATTGTATGTAAATGTGTTACCTGTCAGGTATTTTAAATGTCTGTAATGTCTACTTGCTATGTCAATAAAAAAATAAAAAAAGTAATGTTCATTGTTTGTAATGTCTTTTTAGTTCTGTATCGGAACCCAGGTAGACTAGCTGACTTCATGGCATTGGTTAATGGTGATCCAAATAAAAATATACATACCATTTGACCTCTGCAGGTTTACTAATGACTGTAGGTTTATTGTATTGTAGGTTTACCTGTGGAGTTGCAGGTGTCCTCAAATTCCTCACTGTCTCTGCTGGAGGGGCGTCGGCCTAGTCCCACAGAGTAGGCCCTCTGTCTACGACTGCCTGACTGGGAGCTCCGTCTGTTCCCCAAACGCAACCCTACACATGACAGGACAACAGTCACCACACACCACTGCTATCCAAACCATACTCCTCTGAGCCTGGTTCCTCGCCCTCTTTCTTCCTAGGTTCCTGCCTTGTAGAGAGTTTTACCTAGCCACCGTGCTTCTGCATCTGCATTGCTTGCTGTTTGGGGCTTTAGGCTGGGTGTCTGTAAAACACTCGCTGATGTAAAAATGGCTTTATAAAAACCATTTAGTTGATGGAAATTTGATTGATACCCTTCCACTGTTAACAGACATATCAGTTACCATGCATATTATAAACTTAGGCCATCCGTTTTCAGGTTTACTGTGGAACTGTCTGAAGTGTTACCTGTGTTTCTAACTTCCACAATGTCTGATGGACCCTTGCTGGTGTTGGTGGCAGTAAAGGCTGTGTACATACAGATGATGTTACAGCTCTTACTGGTCTGGATGGCCTTCATACGGTACCGCTTAGCAGGTCCTGCAAAACAAGTAGACAGCATACAATCTATCATACGCATAGAGAGACAGGTATACTACAAAGCAGGATCAATTAGTTAGCCATCTAACTTTGATAAGCAACAAGAAATAACTCTAGATTTTCTGGTTCATCAAAGAAGCTAAACTTAGATACGGTCAGGTCTAAAATGATTGGCACCCTTGATGAAGATGAGCAAAAAAGGCTGTATAAAATAAATAATACAAATACAGAGCTATATTGGCTTTGTTTACTCAGGCAGCCCAATTCTGATATTTTCCCAATAAGTGGAAAAATATCAGAATTCGTCTGCCTGTGTACACAGCCATTGCCTGCTAAAAAAGTAGGGAAATTATATTATTCATACAAATACAATTGCTCAGAGAAAGAGATTTTGTTTACCAAGTAAAACTTTTTTTCTCTCAAAAAGATAGGGGTCAAAATTATTGGCACCCCTGTTTTCAGTACCATTCAAATGGTGTTGCAGCCCTCCAGTAGAGTTCCAGACAGAATCTATGCGAAGTTGCATTAAAGCTGTTCTGGCTCATGGTGGCCCAATGCCCTACTAAGACTCTTCATGTTGGTGTTTCCTTTATTTTGGCAGATACCTGTAGCTTGGTATTTGTATTATTTATTTTATACAGTCTTTTGCTCATCTTGTGGTCCTCTGTAGCTCAGCTGGTAGAGCACGGCGCTTGTAACGCCAAGGTAGTGGGTTCGATCCCCGGGACCACCCATACACAAAAATGTATGCACGCATGACTGTAAGTCGCTTTGGATAAAAGCGTCTGCTAAATGGCATATTATTATTATTATTATTTATCTTTATCAAGGGTGCCAATAATTTTGGACCTGACTATGTGTTTTCGTTTGTTGAATCAATTAGACCATACCAATGTCAAGCATATCTTTTAAAAACATTAAGTTGTATCAGAATATTTAGGCAAGTTAGCTGGACAACTCTTTGATCCTGCTTTGTAGTATACCCCTCAGTACTCAACTAATCAAGGCTGAAACAAAACCCTGTACACCCTGTGATGACCTCAATCCCAAAATTGAGGAACACTGGTGTAAACCCTCACCATGCTCAATGTCACTCTCCTTCTCCGCCATCTTCTCAAAGTCCCTAATGGCAGAGCGAACGGTCAGCTGGTGGATAATTTCCTCCCAGAGGTCCCCCCCTTCTCCTTCTCCCCTGGACGTCCCTCCTGTCCCCTGGCCCTCAGGGGCCCAGAGTTGTGTCAGGTCCACGGTGACCTCCCAGGAAACGGGCCTGCCTCCCAGGAGGCCGTGGATGAGGGAGCGACACTGGGCAGGGGGCGTGGGGGGGTCGTCCGGGGGGGCGGCGGTAAACAGGTATTCCGGGTCGGTGAAACTGTCCCAGTCCAGAGGAGAGACAGGGAACAGCAGGCCGTCTAGGGGGGGAGAAAGAGGGGTGGGAGAGGGTTAGTGGATTGATGGATGGAAAAGAGAGAGAAAGAGAGTCTGAGGGAGTTTAGTTTCAGACATCAGTTTAGAGGTGAGGAAGTTAACCTACTGGAGTCAGTGAGGCTCCTGCGGGACAGCCCTCCTCTGGGTGTAGGCTGGTTCTCCCCATCGCTCTCCTCCAGCCTCCCCCCCACTGCCTGGTCGAAGGAGACCCTCTCTAGCGCCCTCCGCAGGCGGTGCATGTCCAGCTCACCCTGGGGGGAGGAGAAACTCCTCGCAGACATGGCGGAGCGGGCCAATGCCCTCTGTCTCCTTCGAGACTCCTCCCCTGCACACAGACGCCCTGCCTGGATTGTGACAAGGGAAAACAGTTACACTGGGTTAAAAAATATTTACAGCAGTGTAGTTTAATGACTAAAGGCATGAGGTGGTTCAAACTGCAGTTGTAAACAAAGCCAGTCCTACCTTTTTTGACACGGAATCCGTATTCTCGGAGGAAGCGATCTGTTGCCATGGCGACTCGCCCCAGCGGGACAGGGTGCTTCTCTGTTCGGGTGGAGCCATCTTCTCGAGGCCCTGCGGCAGGGAACCCGTGTCCAGGCACGGGATGGGGAGCAGGTCAGGGGGGTAAGGGCCTCCCATAGAGTCAGAGGTAGAGGGGGTGTGGGTGTGGGTGTAGGGCAGACCCCTCTCACTGCTCAGGGAGCAGCGGGTCAGAACATACTGCTCCTGGATGTAAGAACTCTCCTGGATCCTACGACGAACATCACTGGACCATTCCACCTCCCCACCTGTGGATGAGATATCAGAGGAGAGCTTGTAAGACAGTTATAATCATTGTGCTTTAGCTGTAATATGCGCAAAGCCAAAGGAACTTTACAGGTATTGGATTGAGGGAACTGTTTTTTTGAGTGACCATCTCAGTATTTCACCTGTACTAGTCCCAGTGTCAGTGTCTTTGGCACAGGAGAACTCTGAGGAGATTTCCCGGGAGATTTCCCTCAGCGCCTCCTCTAGGTCTGCGCCTTCTGATGATGTAACCAGAGGGAGGAGCTCAGACACAGAGGGAGGGGACAGCTCGTCGTTCGATAGGCCGAACACAGAGCCAACCGAGCCCCGAGACAAGCCCTTATAGCCCCGACCACGCCCCTACACAAGGTGAGAGAATGGACTGAGTTTACTTTGTATTCTGCACAATATATATGCTGTCCACAAGACAGGAAACTTGAATGCCTTTCCAGAGGGGATAGTTGGACACTCACCTCAGTCTTCTTGCCTCTGAAGCTAGACACATCGTACAGGGTACAGTAGCCAATCAGGCGATTCCCTGGGTAAAGCGGAGGGATCTCATTGGGTGACAGGAGAGCCTCCATGTTATCAGGCAGGTACCAGTCTATTCGTACATCAGTGAGGACTGGCTCAAAGGCCTTCTTCAGGGACTTTATCAGCTGAGGGGTCAGTGATTAGTTAAACGTTAGAGGTTATAGGTTAGGGGTTAAAGGTTAATTCAAATGTGTTTGCATTTTCAGGTTGAAGAGGGAAGCAATAATCTTTGAACGTTAGAGTAGTGTGCATGTCCCCAGTAGCCTACTACAGTATTTCCCCACTAGGGGGCAGTGATGTCACTTCTCACCTTGGGCTGCAGCCTCTCCTCTCACCCAAGAACTCTGTTGTTCCACCTGTCACCTTGGCAACGCCCTGTAGGAGCCTCCTGCAGGCTCTGGGGCCCAGGCCAAGACCAAAAACACCTTGATAATAACCATAATAATCTTATGCAGTTATATAGATATCTATATATAAATTATATGATATATATATATATATATATATAATTATATATATATATATATAGATATATTCTATCTCGCAGAGGGAGAGATAGAGAGACGCGAGACACAGAGAGTCGAGCTCGCAGCGCTCTTAGGACGAGACAGAGCGAGAGCTCGCGACGATAAGGCATCGACGTAAGAGAGAGAGAGAGAGAGTACTGTGCAAATTTAGACAGATTTATTAGTTAGACACTTTAAAACCAGGTGATCTATGATGGATTTACTGTGTCCTTCGTATTCTAACCCTGAGTTATTAGCTACACACAGCAGTGTTATACACAACACTGAAAGCAATCAAATGGCATTTCACTAATTGAATGGCTGAAAGGGCCACAGGCCAGACTAATTGAAAAGGCCAAGTGACGGACAGCGTGCCGCTCTGCTCTGAATGCAGCTACCTCTGTCTGGCAGGGTAGACTGACTGTCCCACATGAATATCAATACACGCACACTCACACACACAAACACAGACCCAGGCATGTACACGTGGGCTAGGGTTAGAGGTTGGAATCACATTTGTAGTTTGACTGCTCCATAAGTTCCTCCGTCTTCACTAACATAGCCAGTGTGCTGTCGGGGGATAGCTGGGCTAACAGTAGAATACTCATGAAGGATAAATATAGTTATTATTGTGCAATGCCCAGGGAGCTGGGAGGGGGGAGGAGGGTGGGAGGGAGGGAGACCAGACCAGACCAGACCAGAGGGGCATGGCAGTAACTGCAGAGGGAAGCACTTAGTGGGATTAATGGGTGTGGCTTATATCTGCTACGACATACTGTATCAGCCACTCTCTCTCTCTAGTAACTCTCTCTTTTCCTTCCTCTCTCTCCTTCCAAACACACAGACTTACATAGACACACTTTATTACCACAATATTCAGGGTTGAACCTACAGTATCACTTTTGATCAATACAGTAGATTTTAAATGCTAAATGTTCCCATTTCTACTCATTCTACCAGCTGCCATCAGACAATACCTGGCAGCACAAGTGTTCCTGCGGACCAGCTCCAGCACCTTGCCTACACTGCTGACGCTGCCGTCTGTGATGATGAACACCTGGCGGGGGCAGGAGCGCTGCACGGGCTGCTGGTACACCCAAGACAGCGCCCCCAGCAGGTTGGTTTCCCGCATGTCAGCCCTCATCTTCTGGATGTACTCACAGGACTGTGCCAAGATCACCTGGGGAGAGAGGGGAGGGGAGGGGAGGGGAGGGGGTAGGGTAGGGGAGGGACAGATAGGGCTACTGCCTATTGGTTAATATTGATGGACTCATTAGATAAGCAGTGTATGATCACCAAACTATGATTTTAATTACTTTAATCAACAAGGGGGCATGAAGATGTAGGGATAGCATACATCTACTGTACACTAAAGAATTGACAGAAGGATAGTATGATATGCATCAGATTGGGCGAGGAGAAATGAAGGGCAGTGACACGAGTTATGAGTTTCAATAAATCTCATGTTATCTGTCTGGTAGATCGGGGTAAATAATGTACCTTCCTATTGTTTGAACTGTAAACATTGGAATACCACAATAAATCAAACAGACATAATCCTATATTACTATTGACGTTAGAATGTAATCAAGCCCTGTCCAACCTGTAAGGGAATACAAACATAACAAAACCTGTAGTAGACCATCACTGAACAACAAACAGTGTAGGTCACCCAATGTCAGCACTTGCACCTGCCTTAACCCAAATCACAAAGGGGACACAAACGCCCATGACAATCTGTGATTTATTAAACCAGACAGAGAGAGAGAGAACTAGTGGCTCATCCTCATTTTCCTCATTGTAATATGCATGAAAGGTCACCATATGTTGTTTAACTGCTGTTTGTCCTTGCACAGTCCTGGTCTGGCTAAAACCTGATACTCAGCTGCTAGGGCAACCCTGGTGTGAGCTGACCTGGACTCTGATTGAGGTGGAACAAAGAGGACAGAGAGGACAGGACAGAAGGTCCACAAGTGATAATAAAACATGTTTGTTTTTTTTTTCATCATGGTTCTGTTGAGAGCACCTTGTCTGACTGAGCATGTTAAGTTGTTCACATAACATGGTTTGTAGATCTTCACACATGTAAGGTTGCATGGAAGTTTATGGTTGCTCTCATGGTAAATGGAAACCTTATTGTCAAGGTTATACAGTATATTTCCCATTCATTTGGGATTGAGGCTGCAGATTTCTCTTAATGCATATATATGGATCTACATAATGGATCTACATAACAGATGGTGGGGAATATGAGTGCAAGTCAATAATAGATTACTTCTTTGAGGAGTGAAAGCATCTGACAAACTTTGACTTTATAGGGTGAACTATTCCTTTGCTCTCTGAAGTAGTACTTACGTCTGTGCAGAGCTTGCTGGTGGTGAACAGGGCTTTGATGGTGGTGCCGAAGCCTATGATGTTGAGCATGGTGCCTGGAGGAAGACTCTTCAGAGCTACCACCATCGGTTCCTGTTGGGACAGGAAGTGGACATGGGGTTAGTATTGAAAAGTCTGGTCTGAGGATGTTCTTCTTCCGTGTAAAAACAATTCTTTGAAAATCCACGATTCAGATCCCCTTTATATTTGTAATATCTTCCAAATAATTACAATTTACTTCCATTGAATATGCACAACCATAACCCTTCACCAGAGGGAAAACCATTCCCTTGAGACAGATTCCATGTGATATTTTCTCCATAATTTTAACAGCCCGAGTCAGGGTGGATGGGATTACCTTCATGTATGTAGATGTGTTTTTACCCCCTCTCCTTCACTATGTCTGTGTCAGTGTTTTCTCCATCATCACCTTGATGCGGTGGATGTTGATGCCGCTCATGCTGCCACTGCGGTCTATGAGGAAGAGCAGTTCCCTGGTGGCGCGGTGCAGCTCTGGAGGCTCAGACAGCAGGTCAGGACAGAAGTTGAGCATCAGGACCGGGCTGCTCAGGATGTCCTTGTGGTACCGCTTTCTCACAAACTCCAACTGTACAGGAGGATTGATTGATAGAATTTATTAGACAATAAAAAATAGAAAAAACATATACAGCCAGAATATATTGTATGTTAGTCCAAATAATGTATAGATGTATTATAAGGGTAAGAAATACTATTTGCCAGGTACTGGGTTGGGTAAATAGTTTCATGGAAATATAATAAAGCCACACACTGTTATTTGCACCCAAGTGATTTTTTAGCTTTCAGTCCAGCTCACCTTCTTCTCTGGTTCCAGCTCTTTGCGAGCACAGCGAATGAAGTCGCGGCGGGAACAGATCTGCTGCTCGTATTGGCTGAAGGTGAGCCGACCCCTCTCCAGGATGACCAATGGGCTGTGAGGCTCTGGAGGAGAGAGTTTGAGGACAGAACTCAAGATCAGTGAGATAAGGAAGGAGGCCATCGGAGACTATTGTGAAACACGCACACCCACACACATACAAACACTCTCTCTCACCGCTGAGGTGCAGTATGATCTCTATGTGTCTGTCATAGGGGTGTTCCTGTGCCAGGGTGATGTAGGTGGCGGAAGCACTCTGGGCGCTGGGGTCTGCATCTGCCCTCAGGGCGTGGGTAGGGCTTTCCAGACCTGGGCAGGGGAAGGGGACAAGATATACCCAGTTCAACAACAACACTTAGTCCTATTAGGTGAAGGGGCTAGGGGTAGGGGCCAGCTAGGGGAAGAGGTTAGGGGAAGGGGCTAGGGGAAGGATACACTCCCTCTCAGACAGGCCGGAGTGACTCCACTCCCCTACAGGCCCTCCTAGCGCCCAATCTGATTGAGTAGCCTAATTTCCCCCACCTAATATCTTGACTGCTGTACAGTACAGTTACAGTAGCCTGGCCTTGTTCCAAACACACCCGCTCCCTCCTTCGTTTCTCAGCTCCCTTACTCTGTCCCTCTCCCTAGGCTGCCTCACTCTGAGTTCCTTGTCCAGCCTCCCCAGACACATTTCATATTTCACTATGGGAATGCCAGGGCCAATTGTATCTGTCACTATGTCATTACAGGAGACAGGCTAAAGCTAGAAAGAGCTGTTTCTCCCACCCCTATCCCACCCACTCAAGTGCTTGCTGTACTCAAAGAACTCCTCGCTATATGAGCCAAGTTACAATTGCCACCAAGTGGGTTAACCTTGGTAGGGTGTTTGCCTTTCATGCCAGCAACCCGGGTTCACTTCCCTGTCCTGCTGTTCGCTACAATATCATAGCAAAGCTACTTAGTGGGAAATAGGTATTTTGACATCAATGGGACTTCCTGGGTAAATAAATGTGTGCCAATGAATAGATAGATGGGTATATAATATGGGTATACCAGCCAGCAGGCATGCCCCTCGGACCAGCAGCTGGAAGTTGAGCTCGTAGGGTGCCACGTTGGTGGCAGGGCTGGTGAAGATGGCATGGGCACACTGTTGCTCCAAACCCAAAACCCTCTCCTGTTTCCCTGAGGTGGCTCCAAAACAACTGGTGGGTCTGCAGGGGAAGAAGAGTAGGGATAGATTAGAAAGGAAAATATTAAGAGCCAGAGTTTGAATTTCACATGAACTTTTGGTAATTCCAATAATGATATGGGATAATGTACATTTTTTCAACACTTGGGAATTAATTTAATTGAGATCAAACTACCAAACATTTAGATAATTTTCAAAGGGGAGGGGAATACCCTGTTTCATCTGATTTCCCCCCATTTTCACTTTTGCTTGCAGTGACCTGCCCTGTGGCGATGGGAGTGAGTACTGTGGGGTAGACCAGGCGGATCGCACCACTCTTCAAGGTGGGGAGTTCCATGGTCGTGCTAATGATGACAGATACAATGTCCATCGGGCCAATGACCCCTGTGCCTACGATGAAGGTGGTTCGCTCCAAGTCTTCATCTAGGATGAGATGGCCTAAAAGACAGAGATTCAGATAAAAATCTTCAGATCATGGTTCCATGGATTAAATAGAATCATAACATTCACTTAAAGTTGATACATTTTTTATACTAAGTGAAAGCCATTTCACGAAGAGGCAAGAAGCCAAATCCTTTTAGCTTCAGTCCTCTGCCCCATCCTACAAGATTATACCATTATATTAAATTAATCAGGGAATGAGGTAAAGGGGATTTTTATTCTGGTAGAGATACACTCCTTCCGTCCTTCTATCCATCCAGCCCTATCTCTCATCCAGGCTCTGTCGCAGCCGGCCGCGACCGGGAGACTCATGGGCGGCGCACAATTGGCCCAGCGTCGTCCAGGGTAGGGGAGGGAATGGCCGGCAGGGATGTAGCTCAGTTGATAGAGCATGGCGTTTGCAACGCCAGGGTTGTGGGTTCGATTCCCACGGGGGGCCAGTATAAAAATAAAAATAAATATGTATTCACTAACTGTAAGTCGCTCTGGATAAGAGCGTCTGCTAAATGACTAAAATGTAAAATGTAAATGTCTCACTCCCTCCCTCCTTCCATCCCTACCTTCCTTCCTCCCATTCTTTCTTTCTTCCTTCCTTCCTTCCTTCCTTCCTTCCTTCCTTCCTTCCTTCCTTCCTTCCTTCCTTCCTTCCTTCCTTTCCCTCCTTACCTTCTGCCGTACCTCTCTCCTTCCCCCCCTTTGCTCACCATTGGTACACTGCATGTCCAAGCTGGAGTCCCCGCAGCAGCCCCACTCCCGTCCGTTGCCACATTGGCCATCGAGCCCCAATCCTGGGCAGCAGTCCAGACAGCAGTCCTCCAGCTTCCCCCGACTCTGGATCTGAACTCCCACCATCCGGCCAGCAATTACCGCCTCAAAGCCCACCACCACCTCCTTCTCCCCTAGCGGGTACACAAACACACCTTGGGGGAGAGGGGTGGGGGAAAGGTGCAAGGGGCATTGAATAAAAGGACAACAGACAACAGTTGAAGACCTACATTACAGAAAGACTATTACAGAAAGACCAAGACAAGATCTGGCTATAGATGACATCAGTGTGTGACCTATGACCTGAGCTGTCACTCACCCTCCACAGGTTCGGTGTCTGTGTTGGCGTAGGTGAGATGTGCGGTAATGCCCAGGGAGCAGCCGTTGGCACAGGACTTGATGCAGGAGGCCTTGAGGAGCAGCGGGGCCCACGTGGACCGGTTTCTCAGGCCCACCATCGTCTCTGGATGTGAGGAAGAGAGGAAATCATTGAGTTCAATGTGTGTGTGTGTGTGAGCATGTGTGTAAGAGAGAGTGTGTGTGTGTGTGTGTGCGTGCATGCTTGCACGCGCATTCAAATGGCCTCAATTTCTAGCCTTATCAAGGCGAAGGATCAGAACCACAGTAAGGAAAGTTCTTCAAGACCAATTATGTGCTTCTAAATGAGGCTTATTCTCAATTGATGGAAAGAACATTGGCCTCGAATCGGCTCTGATAATTATTTCAAAATGTCAGCTAAAGGTCCCCACGGTTAATGAACCTTGCTGCAGGGCAAGGTAAACATGTACTGTTTTCACATGAATTACCTGTGTAACCGTGAGATATGTTTATTTACAGCAGCCCCCTCATGCCTTGGGCATCTACTCTGGTAACCTAGCTATCCCCTCTCTCCACCTGCATAGCAACCGGCTGCAACATTGTTGAAGCCCAGCTCAATCATTAACAGACTGGTCAACACTCCATGGGCTCCAGGGCAGCATCTCCTCAACGGCTACCTAATGCAAATCCATACTATACAGCTTCACAAGTCTTACCTGACCACAGAGGAGATAAGAGTGGGTTGTATGATGTATCTTTAGGTTGTGTTAGTGGCACAATATGGGAAAGAGATCAGGTAAGCTAGTTGGATTACTGGAACCTCTTAGAAAACCTATGAAGCAGGTGTCCTCCTCAAGAGAATGTTAAGAGTAAATAAGAGATCTATTAACAAATATAAACTATTCTCATCTTGAAAATACTTACATCTTGTTGTTTAGAACTTTAAACTTACAGGGATGTCCTTCCAGTTTAACATCACCCTGTGGCTTGCATCAGCACCAAACACAACACAACACAACATGAAATAGATGAATCAAACTAAGCAGCCATGTTCTTTACAAAATAACCACAGGTGCTGCAATTAAGCCCAGCAGGTCAAAGAAGACCATAAAACACACTTCTTAGTGATTTACCTTTTACTGCTCCTTGAATAAAACAATGTTCTGGGAATCTGGGCTATAACGTGCAGGTGTAATGGTTTCTAATGGTTTAGTGTTAGTGGACCCACAGCTCAGTGAGCAGTAAATTGCGCAGTGCAGTCTGTGACTGTTTGCTTTGGTCTGGGTAATGGTCTCTACATCCACCTCTGACTAAGTAGATCAACAGCTTCCATCTGGCTACTGTGCTCTGGAGGGATGGAGAGGGGAGCAGGTAAATACATGTCTGTTTGGGAGAAGGGGAGGGCAGAAATAAGCCAAACCAGCATTCAAAAACAAAAACTCGATTCGAGTAAAACACACACAGCAGAAAAGGTTACTTGTTAAATGTAAATGTCTAGATCTTACAATTAAAGGTCTCGTCATCTTCCATAACGGACTACTGAATAAATCTGTTTAATATAAATACCAGTCAAAAGTTTGGACACACCAACTCATTCAAGGGATTTTCTTTATTTTTACTATTTTCTACATTGTAGAATAATAGTGAAGACATCAAAACTATGAAATAACATATATGGAATCATGTAGTTACCAAAAAAGTGTTAAACAAATCAAAATATATTTTATATTTGAGATTCTTCAAAGTAGCCACCCTTTGCCTTGATGACAGCTTTGCACACTCTTGGCATTCTCTCAACCAGCTTCATGAGGTAGTCACCTGGAATGCATTTCAAATAACAGGTGTGCCTTCTTAAAAGTTAATTTGTGGAATTTCTTTCCTTCTTAATGCATTTGAGCCAATCAGTTGTGTTGTGACAAGGTAGGGGTGGTATACAGAAGATAGCCCTATTTGGTAAAAGACCAAGTCCATATTATGGCAAGAACAGCTCAAATAAGCAAAGAGAAACGACAGTCCATCATTACGTCAAGACATGAAGGTCAGTCAATATGGAAAATGTCAAGAACATTGAACGTTTCTTCAAGTGCAGTCGCAAAAACCATCAAGCACTATGATGAAACTGGCTCTCATGAGGACCGCCACAGGAGTTACCTCTGCAGCAGAGGTTAGAGTTAACTGCACCTCAGATTGCAGCCCAAATAAATGCTTCACAGAGTTCAAGTAACAGACACATCTCAACATCAACTGTTCAGAGGAGACTGCGTGAATCAGGCCTTCATGGTCGGATTGCTGCAAAGAAACCACTACTAAAGGACACCAATAATAAGAAGAGACTTGCTTGGGCCAAGAAACACAAGCAATAGACATTAGACCGGTGGAAATCTGTCCTTTGGTCTGATGAGTCGACCACTGTGTCTTTGTGAGACGCAGAGTAGGTGAACGGATGATCTCCGCATGTGTGGTTCCCACACCGGAAGCATGGAGGAGGAGGTGTGATGTTGTGGGGGTGCTTTGCTGGTGACACTGTCTGTGATTTATTAAGAATTCAAGCCACACTTAATTAGCATGGCTACCACAGCATTCTGCAGCGATACGCCATCCCATCTGGTTTGCGCTTAGTGGGACTATCATTTGTTTTTCAACAGGACAATGACCCAAAACACACCTTTAGGCTGTGTAAGGGCTATTTTACCAAGACGGAGAGTGATGGGAGTGATGCATCAGATGACCTGGCCTCCACAATCACCCGACCTCAACCCAATTGAGATGGTTTGGGATGAGTTGGACCGCAGAGTGAAGGAAAAGCAGCCAACAAGTGCTCAGCATATGTGGGAACTCCTTCAAGACTGTTGGAAAAGCATTCCAGGTGAAGCTGGTTGAGAGAATGCCAAGAGTGTGCAAAGCTGTCATCAAGGTAAAAAGGGTGGCTACTTTGTAGAATCTCAAATATAAAATATATTTTGATTTGTTTAACACTTTTTTGGTTACTACATGATTCCATATGTGTTATTTCATAGTTTTGATGTCAACACTATTAATTTACAATGTAAAAATAAAATAAAAACCCTGCAATGAGTAGGTGTGTCCAAACTTGACTGGTACTGTATATATATATATATATTTTTTTATATATATTTTATTTTATTGTTTTCCACTAACCCTACCACCCCTCCCTTAATTGGAGTAAACTCATGAACCACAACACTTAGGCTTCTACTTCCAGCTTATACATACTATATAAATGTTACAGACACAATCTATTTGACAATAGTTATCTTTTGTTTGTTTTTACTCCTATCCTTCTGCTCCCCTCAACCCCTCCCATCTATTTGTGAAGACCATCCAGTTTGATTTCTATTTGCCATTTATTTTTAACTGTGCTGTTTCACAAAAGTTCTGAACCTATATACATTTTACGGACACAGTCTATTATACATTAGTTTTCTTGTTGTTATTAGTCCCACCCTTCAGCTCCACTCAACCCCTCCCATCTATCTCTTAACACCATCCATATTGGATTTCTATTTGCCATATATTTTTCAACTGTGCTGTGATGTTTTACAAAAGTTCTGAACCTTTCTATTCTCATAGTTTCTACAGATTGTAAAATAAAGATAAACATTTTTCCTAAAAGTATTATTATATTATTTATTGATTGACTATGACTTTTCAAATCACCCAGTAGTGCTATCTGCAGAGTTAGCTCCAGGTAAATGTTGCAATTCCTCAGCCATTTCTGTACCTGCGACCAAAAACAAGCTACATATGGACAGTACCAAAACAAATGATATAATGATTCTGTCTCTTCGCAGCAAAATCTGCAAAGCTGGGATTGTTGTATCCCCCATATATATAAGAATAATTTTGTATAATAATTTTAATTGAAAAATTATTTTTTGAATCCGCTGTCGTTTTGCGTATATGTTCTCCAACTATCTTTGTGTTACCATTTGAAAGTTGACATTTCCATTTTATTCACATTTTAGTAAATTTATCAGCCAAAACATGACACCCACCTTGTATTCAAGAGTATGCTGTGTCTGAAGAGATGGCGGGCACAACATAAACCCCTCAGATGATGTCAAATAGTGTCTAAGCTACAACATAAATTATATGAACACGAATAAAATTGGAGTTGATGCAGGTTTTTTTTATATTGACGTTAAAGGTTAAAAAAGTACGTAATTTTTATTTTAAAAAAAACATATATCTTTCAAGAAATTTTAAAATATTTTGACAATCTGGTTTTCAAGCTTTCAAATGATGTAAAACTCAATTATTTATATGTTTTAGTGATGCAGACATGGATGTCTCCTGGTAGGATGGGGTATGCAAAATGGGTCAACTTTGAGCACGTCTATCTCCTCAGTGGTGTAAAGTACTTAAGTAAAAATACTTTAACGTACTACTTAAGTAGTTGTTTGGGGTATCTGTACTTTACTTTACTATTTATATTTTTGATTCCTTTTACTCCACTACTTTTCTAAAGAAAATAATGCACTTTTTACTCCATACATTTTCCCTGACACCCAAAAGTACTTGTTACATTCCGAATGCTTAGCAGGAGAGGAAAATCGTCCAATTCACACACTTATCAAGATAACATCCCTGATCCTCCCTGCTGCCTTTGATCTGAAGGACTCACTAAACACAAATGCTTCATTTGTAAATTATTGTCTAAGTGCTGGAGTGGCTATCCGTAAATAAATAAAAAACAAGAAAAATTGGTTTACTTAATATAAGGAATGTGAAATTATTTATAATAATATAATAATAATATGCCATTTAGCAGACGCTTTTATCCAAAGTGACTTATAGTCATGCGTGCATAAATGTTTTGTGTATGGGTGGTCCCAGGGATTGAACCCACTACCTTGGCGTTACAAGCGCCGTGCTCTACCAGCTGAGCTACATACTTTTACCTTTGATACTTAAGTATATTTTAGCAATTACATTTACTTACCCAAGTAGTATTTTACTGGGTGAGTTTCACTTTTAATTGAGTCATTTTCTATTTATGTATCTTTTATTCAAGTATGACAATTGGGTACTTGTTCCACCACTGTATCACCTGAATGTTTTGGCAAAAAAAATCCCTTTCTGACCACTTCTACCATGGGCAAACATGTATGGAAGGTTTCGTTCAAATCAAAAGGGTTGCAGTCAGAAAGTTATTGAAATCATATGGAATGACAGGAGTGTGTGTGTGTGTGTGTGTGTGTGTGTGTGCGTGTGTGTGTGTGCGCGCGCGCGTGCGTGCGTGCGTGTGAGAGGGCAGCAACCTGTTAGAATCATCAGGTTCTCAACACACAATTTTACAGATGGTCTGCTCTGTCAATTATGTCCATTTTAAGTACAAATTGTTGATTAATAAAATGTGACAATCTTGACAATCCCTTTATATCACTTAGGCCTATAGACAAGCCACACAAATTCAAAGGATTGCTGTATCATCAAATTATTTTTGCAAATGCAAATACCTTAAATTGAAGATTATTGTAAGCCTACAGAAGTGCATAAGCCCCTAACAAAAACTCAGTGCAGATAGGCTAAACATGACACAGCATTGAGCTGCCCATTGTTTTTAGTGTGAGTCAAGTGACTGCAGGGGATATACACAGTGAGTATAGCCCTACCGCAGGCTATTTGCGTTAATAATACCCCTTTGATAAAATGCTAAATCAATACATTGCCTTGCATTTACTTACCGTGCTTTCTGCTTCTCTGTGGTCACCGCGGGTCCCGTTGTTTCTCTCTGGTTCCTCTCACTGCTCAGCATCACTCCATCCCACTTCTGTCTTCTTCTTCCGTTGTTAACCCCGCGAGGGTTTTTACCGGTAAAGGACGTACCCTGTTCTCCTCTGTGCCTATTTACCCACGCGCGCACGCGAAAAACGGACGGTGCCGAGCGTGCGCCTGCATTGACACACACACACACACACACACACACACACACACACACACACACTGTTACTAATCTCTGAGTCACTCCATTTTACTGTAAGGAGAACTATAATGATTGATGAGGATTCATTGACAGGGAAGACATTGTTGTGAAAATAAATAATAGTATTCTTATTCATTCAGAATAATGCTTATTCATTCAGTATTAGTGTATTATATGGATTACATTGTGGCTTTGAAGTTAAACAGGTATAGTCCCCAGTAAATTAAGCAAAGATAAACATACTATATGTGTCTGTTACTGATCTACATCTGCATTGCTTACTGTTTGGGGTTTTAGGCTGGGTTTCTGTATAGCACTTTGTGACATCTGCTGATGTAGAAAGGGCTTTATAAATACATTTGATTGAATCAATCCTACATATCCCATCCCTATCTGTCACCATTGTAAACCAAACAGAAATACTGCCCCTGCACCAGTTGCTGTGGTGGACATAATTCGCTGTCTGTTCTGTGTCCAGGCAATTGGCTCTGACCATAGCCCATAACTCAAGATAATGGCTGATTGAGCCAGGAGAGAGCAGATAATCTGACTACGCCTGCCTCTCCTCAAGAGGTCACAGTCTGACACATGGGGAGAATATTAATTTCATTTCCTTGATTTCTCATGTCCTCTCTCCTTGCCTCCTCAAATCCCATTGGATGAGAAGGTCAGAGGGAAGAGCTCTTTGACCTTCTCATCCAATGGGTTTTGAGATGTTGGCGAGGAGAGAATATTTGAGGAATCAATTAAATGCAATTGAGGGTCTCCCGTGTACATTCTAATCAGTTGCAATACTGGCAAAAGGCAAACAGCTTTTTTTTCTAAAACGGCTTCCTCTCCTTTAACTGCTCTGACCTATAGGTCTAATCAGTATGGAACATGCCTGCCTGGAACTTGCTATCACTGACCTTTACTAAGTCTAGATAGTCTGAGTTACTGTGAAGAAACCATGGTAACAGGTACAGTATGTAGTTACATTGGCACTGGCAGGTGTTGCATCTGTTATGATTGTTAAGGTCATGTGGCTGCAGGTACACTGATGTAAGTTGAGCATCAACCTAGCCTCAGGGCATTTCGTTGGATTTGGGACACACATATGTATCCCTCCATTTAGTATCATATGTTACGTTGCATTACACTACGCTACCTTACGAATGGAATAGCGGTTGTACTTCATTGTGGTCAGGCTGTGAGTATAGATCATGTGTATAAGACATTATTAATATTTATTAACAGATAATAACACACAGACAACAGGTCACTTAAAATATAGCACATTGAATCAAAGTTTATACACAAACTAATGTGAGCAAAATACATATTTTGGCTATAATAAAATCAATAATCTTCTGTTTATATTGATTCTAGCATTATAGTTTCATATCCCCATTGATTGGGTTTGTCATGAAGGAAAAAAGATTGATTGCAGCATTGAGGACAGCATGCTTGTACCTTGATACAAAAAAGACAAAGCCTTTTGCCAAATAATCAGAAATAACTAATTTGTTCCTTCTGACCTACCTCTACTTGTAGAATTCAAAAATACAAAATGTAGGCCTACTTCACTTTTTATTCATCTTTGTCGCCATCTAGAGACAAAGTCAGGTATCGCTGAGGAGTTCTAACTACCAACTACAGCACGACAGACTGTTTTATGACTAACAAGAGAGATCAAGTTAAGCTTTATTTCATTTACAGTTGAAGTCGGAAGTTTACATACACCTTAGCCAAATACATTAAAACTCAGTTTTTCACAATTCCTGACATTTAATCCTAGTAAAAATTCCCTGTCTTAGGTCAGTTAGGATCACCACTTTGTTTTAAGAATGTGAAATGTCAGAATAATAGTAGAGACAATTATTTATTTCAGCTTTTATTTCTTTCATCACATTCCCAGTGGGTCAGAAGTTTACATACACTCAATTAGTATTTGGTAGCATTGCCTTTAAATTGTTTAACTTGGGTCAAACGTTTCGGGTAGCCTTCCACAAGCTTCCCACAATAAGTTGGGTGAATTTTGGCCCATTCCTCCTGACAGAGCTGGTGTAACTGAGTCAGGTTTGTAGGCCTCCTTGCTCGCACACGCTTTTTCAGTTCTGCCCACAAATGTTCTATAGGATTGAGGTCAGGGCTTTGTGATGGCCACTCCAATACCTTGACTTTGTTGTCCTTAAGCCATTTTGCCACAACTTTGGAAGTATGCTTGGGGTCATTGTCCATTTGGAAGACCCATTTGTGACCAAGCTTTAACTTCCTGACTGATGTCTTGAGATGTTGCTTCAATATATCCACATCATTTTCCTTCCTCATGATGCCATCTATTTTGTGAAGTGCACCAGTCCCTCCTGCAGCAAAGCACCCCCACAGCATGATGCTGCCACCCCCGTGCTTCACGGTTGGGATGGTGTTCTTTGGCTTGCAAGCCTTCCCCTTTTTCCTCCAAACATAACGATGGTCATTATGGCCAAACAGTTCTATTTTTGTTTAATCAGACCAGAGGACATTTCTCCAAAAAGTACGATCTTTGTCCCCATGTGCAGTTGCAAACCGTAGTCTGGCTTTTCTATGGCGGTTTTGGAGCAGTGGCTTCTTCCTTGCTGAGCAGCCTTTCAGGTTATGTCAATATAGGACTCGTTTTACTGTTGATATAGATACTTTTGTACCTGTTTCCTCCAGCATCTTCACAAGGTCCTTTGCTGTTGTTCTGGGATTGATTTGCACTTCTCGCACCAAAGTACGTTCATCTCTAGGAGACAGAATGCGTCTCCTTCCTGAGCGATATGACGGCTGCGTGGTCCCATGGTGTTTATACTTGTGTACTATTGTTTGTACCGATGAACGTGGTACCTTCAGGCATTTGGAAATTGCTCCCAAGGATGAACCAGACTTGTGGAGGTCTGCAAAAAAAATTTTCTGAGGTCTTGGCTGATTTCTTTTGATTTTCCCATGATGTCAAGCAAAGAGGCACTGAGTTTGAAGGTAGGCCTTGAAATACATCCACAGGTACACCTCCAATTGACTCAAATGATGTACATTAGCCTTCTAAAGCCATGAGTTTGAAGGTAGGCCTTGAAATACATCCACAGGTACACCTCCAATTGACTCAAATGATGTACATTAGCCTTCTAAAGCCATGACATCATTTTCTGGAATTTTCCAAGCTGTTTAAAGGCACAGTCAACTTAGTGTATGTAAACTTCTGACCCACTGGAATTGTGATACAGTGAATTATAAGTGAAATAATCTGTCTGTAAACAATTGTTGGAAAAATTACTTGTGTCATGCACAAAGTAGATGTCCTAACCGACTTGCCAAAACTATAGTTTGTTAATAAGAAATTTGTGGAGTGGTTGAAAAACGAGTTTTAATGACTCCAACCTAAGTGTATGTAAACTTCCTACTTCAACTGTACTATAATTAAGTTCCCCACACAAATAAGCATTATCATTCAATAACTCAGTTCCCTCCTACACACATAGCATAAAACAACACAGATAGTTGTTTGTTGAAAATATAGGTTTAGAAATCCATGTTGAGGTGAGGCTACTGGTCCATATGCTTTGGAAAACTCTTAGTGTCTCTCTTTCTGATGGAGGGCAAAACACAGTACTTGTTGAGGGAGCTGCTGGATACTTGAGGTACAAGGAGTGGATGTGTAGACAAGGAGTATGAGTGCATCGTATTTGTATTGGACTCCACCATATCTGCTGCTGCTTGATTATGACTGGGATAAACATGACTGCCTGGCCGCTCTATACTCTTTGCGTCTGGAGCATGGTGCTCTTGACTTTGAGTTAGAACTGGGTACCGATGGTGTCCCTGTCCCTGTCCTTGAGTGTTGTGTGTGTTCCAAGGTTGGTCCTCCTGACTTTGAGGTTGTGGTTGTACTGGGTATCGCTGCCGTCCCTTAGATGACTTGGGCCTGATTCTCTGACCTTTCAACTCTGGTTCGTCTTGGTCAAAGGAACCGCTACTCTTCCCTCTGTTCAGGTCATCCTGAGACACACAGGGGGTCTCAGCCGGATGTGGGGATCTTGAGGACGCCCCCTCTCCAGACCAGTTGACAGGAGCTATCTTCGATGCCTGGTTCAGGGGAGGTTGACTCGGAGTCAGGTCATGTGGATGATGAGTTTCCACTTGAGATTGGTTCCTCTCTCCATCTGGTGTGTGCTGGGAGGGTTGTTGTTGTTGTCGTCGGTACCCCCTGGCGGACATGGGCCTACCTACAGGGGAGGCCATGACGCCTAGGTCCCTCAGTGGAGCAAAGCTGTCTCTCTGCTGGTGCCTCTGATGATGCCTAGATGGCACCACAGCACCAGTAGCAGCTGCGGTAGTAAAGGTATTCAAGTTTCCACCATACATGCCTTGTGGAGTCTGAGAGCGGTGCTGGCACATTGACACTGACACTACCTCTGCATGTTGTTGGGTAACCACATTTACAGATGGGTCTGGGTCAGGTGGAGGATACCGTTGTCTGGCCTTGACTGATTTGGGCCTACTGGTCAGAGCCCTGCTGACTGCGTCCTCCAAGCTATCTCTGGAACCACGCTCCATGAGCTACAGATAGAGATAGTACTTAAGAGAGGAGACACGTGGTCAGGTTTATAACATGCTGCTCAAATAAAGCACTGATAAGATAACCATCACAAGCTTCTAACACCACACTGCATTCTCACTCCATAGAGGTGTGGCTCAAAGCCTTAAGTAATGCAAACCTCTCTGTATGCATATTATAAACATGAGCATTTTTATTTAACAGCTCAAAAAATATTTATTGAAGTTTATTTTTATTTACGTATTGTGCATATCTCTATTCAAAGCATGGACCATTATTGCTTTTGCATGTAATATTACAATAACAACCGTTATTCAAATACTGTGTAGTATAGACTTCATGTGTCTATGAATGACCCTATGCTTGTTAGCTCTTATGGGAATGAGCTGAATACCCCTTCTGACTTGAAATCTTTTAAGGGACTTGGGCTAATGCACCTAAATGTGCGAAGTATGATAAAAAGAAATGGACACAATTGACACTTGGGTACAGGACTCGTGTCCTGACATTCTGGTTCTCTCAGAAACATGGTTAAATGATTCTGTATATGATAAAGACATTTTAGTAAATGATTATAATGTATTTAGATGTGACAGATAACAGAAAGGAGAAGGAGTGGCCATATATGTAAAATCTAATTTAATGGCGTCCCAATCTTTAAATGTTTCTGTTCGCAAAAAACTTGAGCTCCTGGTTGTAGATGTGTCCATAAACCAGAATACACATTCATTTGTTGCTGGGATTTACTGCTGCCATGGATATCCCCGACCTCAGATCAATTTAAGAGTATATGCATTGATTTTAATCTGGCTCAATTGATCTCAAAACCCACGGCTAAATGTGAAAAACCTTGTTAACTCATCATTGATTGATTTAATACTTACTAATAACCCCCATAAATATTTCTCTAGTGGAGTATTTGCATATGATCTCAGTTATCATTGTCCCATAGTATGTATTAGAGATATGAAACAGCAAAATACTAATCCTCGTTTAATTAAGAAGAGACATTTAAAAAAGTTCTCTCCTCAAGGGTTTTTACATGACATTCTACTTTGATTTAGCCACTATCTCCTGTATTCCTGACTCTGAGTTGGCTCTAGAACATTTCTCCTCCATATTTATTCCTCTGGCAGATAAACACGCCCCTTTTAAACAATTCAGAGTCAAAGATAGATCTAACGCTTGGTTTTCTTCAGAGCTATCTGAGCTAATTCAGATGAGAAATCAGGCCTGGGCCTGAGCAAGGAAAACTGTCTCTGTAGTGGACTGGCAATCTTTCAGACAATTGAGAAACAGATGTACTATCTCGATTAAGAAAGCTAAATCAAGCTACTTTTTAAGGTCTATCTCTCACTCTGCTGGTGATCCTTCTAAATTTTGGAAAACAGTAAATGCACTGAAGCGTACATATTCCTCTTCTTCCCTGCCTAAGCAGGTTCTGTCTGACTCTGGCATCATACCTGAGAAGAATGGAATAAGTGTGTCACACCCTGATCTGTTTCACCTGTCTTTGTGATTGTCTCCACCCCCCTCCAGGTGTCGCCCATCTGCCTCATTATCCCCAGTGTATTTATACCTGTGTTCTCTGTTTGTCTGTTGCCAGTTTGTTTTGTTTCGTCAAGCCTACCAGCGGTTTTCCCCTTGCGCCTGTGTTTCTCAAGTCCCTGTTTTCTAGTTTTCCCAGTTTTGACCGTTCTGCCTGCCCTGACCCTGAGACTGCCTGCCCCCTGTTCTTGTAATAAACTTTTGTTACTTTAACACTGTCTGCATCTGGGTCTTCTCCTGAAACGTGATAAAATGATGCTTTTAATCATCATTTTATCTCAGCAGGCTTTTTATTTGAGAGAAACAGTGGTTTAATTGACCCTGGTCAGTCAATCGACTGCTCTTCCCTTTGCCAGCATCTAGCTGACTCAACGGTTAACCCATCAACTTCTGGTGAATCTTTGTTTTAATTTCAACCATTTCCTATCTGTGATGTGCTAGATGCCTTGCTTAAGATTAATGTATAAAAACAATCCACTAGGGCTGATATGCTTGATCCATTTTTGCTGCAGCTCTCTGCCCCCCTGATTGCTGAATTATTAACCCATATTTTTAACCTGACGATTATATCTGGTACTATCCCCAAGGTTTGGAAGGCGGCACATGTACTCCCCCTTCACAAAGGTGGTGACCCTTGTGACCTAAAGAATTATCAGCCTATTTCTTGCCTAGCTAAAATATTAGAATCCTTGATAAATTCTCAGCTAAGATCTTTCTTGTCTTTGAAATATATTCTAAATGTACATCAGTCGGGTTTTAGACCAGGTCATAGCATTATCTCTGCTGCATCCCTAGTTATAAATGATGTGGTTAACTGTATGGATGAAAAGCAACATTGTGCTGCCCTCTTCATTGACCTGTCAAAGGCTTTCAAAACTGTTGATCACTCACTGCTAATTCAGAGGCTTTCTTCAATTGGCCTAGACCAGGCTGCATGTAACTGGTTTAAAAATGACTTGACAGATAGACCTCAATGTGTATTTACTGATGGTGTTAAATCAGGTTTCCTGATTATTATGACCGGTCTCCTGCAGGGGTTGATTCTGGGTCCTGTTTACATTAACAATATCGACTCGGCTGTAAAAAACTATAACCTGCACTTGTATGCTATTTTCCCCATGGTTGGCCAGGCTCTATCTGAACTACAGTCTGCCTTCACCATATTACAGAAACACTTGATTGACCAGAAATTAGTGTTGAATGCAGGTAAAACTAAGTATATGTTGTTCTCTAGAGCGCATAAAAAATAACTCTGATGATTTAAGCATATGTACTTTGGATGGTGTCCATATTGATCGTGTCCCTGCTTACAAATATCTGGGCACCTGGATAGATGAAAAGCTGTCTCTTAAAAAGCATATTGATGAGTTAAGAGGCTGAGAGTAAAAATGGGCTTCTTCTCTAGAAATAGTTCCTGCCTCTCGCTAAATAGTAGAAAGCAGATTATTCAGTCAACGTTCCTGTCGGTCCTAGACTATGGTGACATCATCTACTGTATACGAACGCAGCTGCCACTTCATTAAAGCCGTTAGATGCAGTTTATCATAACGCACTGCGCTTTATTATGGGAGACAATTTTAGTACTCATCACTGCATTCTCTACCAGAAAGTTGGTTGGCCCTCTTTGATGTCAAGTAGATTGATACATTACTATGTTTTCATTTACCAAACTTTAGACATACAAGTTACCACACCCGATCTCAGGGATCGTTAACTCTGGAAATTCCTTTGGTCTAAACTGAGTTAGGTAAATCAGGTTTTAGTTTTCTTGCACCTTATTTGTGGAACAATCTTCAAAATGTTCTTAAATTTGATGTTTTGGTGCCTCCAGGGCAATTCAGAAGGCTGATTGAGGACCTTATTACTGATTAATATGTTTTTTTTTTAATGACCATGTTCTTTCTGCTTGCATTTTGTATTTATATTGATGTGTCTTTTCTGTAATTTATGTAATTCATGGCTCATCTGTAAAATAGACCTTGGTCTCAGTATGACTCCCTGATAAAATAAAGGTGAAGTATATATTTTTCATGAATTGTATTGTAACAAATAAATAAAATGAATAAATGTTATTACCTGCTGTGTTACCTTTCCTTTTTGCTCCTATGTTATCTTCATTATTTAGCAGGAGAGAGTATGAAAGCTTCTCTCTCTATTCTAGTGCACTCTCTCTCTCTCTCTCTGTATTCACATTAGAACTGCCTTGGAAACACTGTTTGTCTTCACTGCACCCAAGTATGTCAATAATACCTGCGAGTATGTGTGTGTGTGTGTATGTCCACATGCAGTGCATCAAGGGGTGCATTCATTTTATGCACCTAAGGATGAGTAGTAGTCCATTACGCATGTGTAACTAGAGGAGCATTAAGACCCAGTTTATGCTCATCATAAACAAATTATTTAGCATGGAATAACATAAGTTAAATAGCCCTGCATTAATGTTCTAATTTGTTTGGCAGTCACATAGTTTACCTACTGTATATCAGGCAAGATATAATTTTTACTAGAACCAAAACATTTGATCATATTACTCCAGTGCTCGCCTCTGGCTTCCTGTTAAGGCTGTGGCTGATTTCAAGGTTTTACTGCTAACCTACAAAGCATAACATGGGCTTGCTCCTACCTATCTCTCTGATTTGGTCCTGCCGTACATACCTACACGTACGCTATGGTCACAAGACGCAGGCCTCCTTATTGTCCCTAGAATTTCTAAGCAAACAGCTGGAGGCAGGGCTTTCTCCTATAGAGCTCCATTTTATGGAATGGTCTGCCTATCCATGTGAGAAACGTGGACTCGATCTCAACCTTTAAGTCTTTACTAGGTCTCCCGAGTGGCGCAGTGGTCTATGGCACTGCATCGCAGTGCTAGCTGTGCCACTAGAGATCTTGGTTCGAATCCAGGCTCTGTCGTAGCCGGCCGCAACCGGGAGACCAATGGGGCGGCGCACAATTGGCCCAGCGTCGTCCAGGGTAGGGGAGGGAATGGCCGGCAGGGAGGTAGCTCAGTTGTTAGAGCATGGCGTTTGCAACGCCAGGGTTGTGGGTTCGATTCCCACGGGGGGCCAGTATAAAATAAAAATAAAAATGTATGCACTAACAGTAAGTCGCTCTGGATAAGAGCGTTTGCTAAATGATGTAAATGTAAATGTAATGTAAAAGACTAATCTCTTCAGTAGGTCCTATGATTGAGTGTAGTCTGGCCCAGGGGTGCGAAGGTGAACGGAAAGGCACTGGAGCGACAAACCTCCCTTGCTGTCTCTGCCTGGCCGGTTCCGTCTCTCCATTGGGATTCTCTGTCTCTGACCCTATTACGGGGGCTGAGTCACTGGCTTACTGGTGCTTTCCATGCCGTCCCTAGGAGGGGTGCGTCACTTGAGTGGGTTGAGTCACTTACGTGATCTTCCTGTCCGGTTTGTCGCCCCCTCGGGCTCGTGCAGTGGAGGAGATCTTT